TGTATGCCCCGCCGCTCCTGGACTCGGTACGGCTGCCTTCCTGTGCTGCCCGTTGCTTGCTGCGTTTGCTTTGCTGCCCGTGCCTGTTCTGCCCGTTGCCGCCGTTGCTGCCTGTGCCTGTGCTGCCCGTTGCTGCCCGTGCCTGTGCTGCCCGTTTGCCGTTGCCGTTGCTGCCCGTGCCTGTGCTGCCCGTTGCCGCCTGTTGCTGCCCGTGCCTGTGCTGCCTGTTGCTGCCCGTGCCTGTGCTGCCTGTTGCCGCCCGTTGCTGCCTGTGCCTGTGCTGCCCGTTGCTGCCTGTTGCTGCCCGTGCCTGTGCTGCCCGTTGCTGCCTGTTGCTGCCTGTGCCTGTGCTGCCCGTTGCCGCCCGTTGCTGCCCGTGCCTGTGCTGCCCGTTGCCGCCTGTTGCTGCCCGAGCCTGTGCTGCCCGTTGCCGCCCGTTGCTGCTCGTGCCTGTGCTGCCCGTTGCCGCGCCCGTTGCTGCCCGTGCCTGTGCTGCCTGTTGCCGCCCGTTGCTGCCCGTGCCTGTGCTGCCTGTTGCTGCCCGTGCCCTGTGCTGCCTGTTGCTGCCCCCTATTGCCTGCCTGCCTGTGCCTGTGCTGCCCGTTGCTGCCTGTTGCTGCCCATGCCTATGCTGCCCGTTGCTGCCTGTTGCTGCCTGTGCCTGTGCTGCCCCGTGCCTGTGCTGCCCGTCGCCGCCCGTTGCTGCCCGTGCCTGTGCTGCCCGTAGCCTATGCTGCCCCTGCTCTTCCCCTCCCCTTCTTTGTCTACCTGCTGCGCGTGCAGCCGTGGAACAGAGGCTATGGGGGTGGCGGGTATGGGGGGTGATGGGTGTGTGTGATCCCCATTCCCCTCCTCGTCCTTTCTCTCCCACTGCTGCTGCAACTGCTGCTGGGGGGGGTGGGTGTGAGGGTGTGGGGGAGCTGGGGGGAGAGGTGCTAGGGTTGTCGAGGAGTGTGGAAAGGGGAGTTGGAGGACTGAGGAAGGTTCTAGGAAGCAGCCGCCTTGGAGCCAGCAGCTTCACCTGCCAGCAGCTTCTCTCCTCATATAATCCCTCCTCCTCACTTGCCCTCAGTCCTTCCTGCTGGCGCTGGTGTACCCCTTCAGGGGGTGTCTCTGCATTAGCTTCTGCTGCAGGCAGTTATGGGGGAGTGTCAGAATATATCTGTAACTGCCTGTAGTTGTAGTTAGTGTAGTTATTATAAACTTTGTTTGGTGGTGCGCCTTCTTTGTTCCTTTGCTATATGTTCTTGCAAACCTATAGTGGAGCCCCATTCTCTCCTTTCAACTTTCTCGACATTCATCTTCAACCCTAAACCTAAGCTACTAAGACACTCACTAGCAATGGCTCCTAAGCCTAAGTCACGCTAGTATCTCAACATGCACGCCAATCATCCTGCGCGCACCTGCGAAGTGGGTGCCACTGCTGTCCTGCGTGAGCAAACGCTGGCACGCCGTCAACCTGCGACGTTAGCACGCCGTCGACCTTGCCTTGCTGGAGCGCGGTCGACCAAGTCGTGCTGGAATGCGGTCGATCAAGCTGCGGTGGCAGTTGACCGACCTGAAATGCTTGCTCTGATGTAGTCTTGCTATGCCAACTTCATTGTACCATTGTTCTGAACTTTTCCCAGTGGAACTCTTACAACTTTCCCCGTGAACTAGCAAGAAGTGTGGGCACATCGATCCGCCAAATGCCCGAAGTTTCTGCAGTTTTTGCAGTAGAGGCGTCGAGGTCGTCGCTCTTCGTTGTTGTCGGCGTAGAAGGCGAGCCGTTCACGGTTCTCGTCGTGGCGCTGGTCGCTGCTGATCCATGTCCCGTTGTTCGACGAGAAGGGCGGCGCAAAGGGCGGCCTCCGAGGATGACCCCCTGATGTCGGAGGAGCGCCTTGCAGGGCCGCCACTCTGGGCCAAGCCCTTGAAGCACAATGTTCACGGAAGATTTCCTCAGAAATCGAGCTTCCCAACTTCACGATTTAATCCCGAAGGCTCCGACAGCGGTTGATGTAGCTGTTGACCTTCTCCCCTGAGGTAATCTTAGTTTCCAGTAGTTGCTGGAGTAGTCGGCTCGAGGAGACGGAGTCCTTGGGCTGATACACGCCGTTCAGGTGGCGCCAAGCGTCGAGGGCTGGGGCAGCCGATGTCTTGTATGAACGGATGTTCAGCTGCTCCGCCGGCGACATGTTACGCAGAATAAATCCCGTACGCCATCAGGGGACTCGTTATAATAGCGAGTCCTTGCGTCGTCGGTTTCCTCAGCAGGTCCCCGAGTAGCTCCCGTCGAAGTTATGATGAATCTCCGCGTTTTGGCAGCAGCAGCTCCAGCTCGAAGCTCCAGGTATAGAAGTCTCTGCCGTCAAAGCATGCGCTTGTCTGTATTTTTGATATGCTCAAAAACCTTGATTGCGCGGAGAGAATTGCTTCATCGCTGGGACAGGGAGTCTTGGGCATTGAGCCATTCGTATCTAGGGAGAAGCCTTGCGGGGCGGAGTTTTGGCCGTTTGGGGCCGGTTGAGTGGGTTGGGAAGAAGTTCCCGCATCGCCATTTCGCAATGTCTGGAGCCCTTGCTCTAGGCTCGTGAGTCGCTGAAGCAGCTGTGCGAGGACGGCGGAAGGAATCGTCGTCGTTTCCTCGTTTCTCGCTGCCGGGGTTGGGCTGCGCTTCAGCCGTCAGATTCGTTTGACCTCCAGATCCTCCGGCCATTCTTGCACGTGATCGTGTGCCGGACGCCACTTTCCGAATGTCGCAGATTTCGGAGATGGCGGTGCGAAGGATTCCTGAGTCGCTCTCATACCATGCTGCGATCAGCAGTTGATCGTGGCCTAGGATCTACTCAGGAAGGTTCGCACGCAGAGAAGAGATGTTGGTGGGCCCTTGACCTCAATAGCAGAGTGAATGTAAATGCTTGAGATGAATAAAACATGCAAATACAACAAATATAAATATGAGTACAGCTAAGATGAAACGACCTAGCTAGCCATGTACTCGAAGGGGTACATTCCCTTATTCAAATACATTCCCAACCGTGCGGCGCGAACAGTTACAAAACTGTTCTCGCCGAAGCCATCCTGCCTGCAGCTGCCTGATGCTTGTGTGCTCCGACGGTTCAGATGCGTCCCAACTGTCTGACGCTTCGAGTCACTGAACGTGTGCAGCCAGATCACGGCCGTGCTGTTGTCCATCAATGTACACCTGCACAGCCCCCCCCCCCCCCCACACACACACACACACAACGTGCCGCGGGAGCATACACACACACACACGTGCGCGCGGGCATACACCACACACACACACACACACACACACACACACACACACACACACAGGACACACACACACACACACACACACACACACACACACACACACACACACACACACACACAACACACACAGACACACACACACACAACACACACACACACACACACCACACACACACACACACAGACACCACACACACCAACACACACACACACACACACACACACACACACACACACACCACACACACACACACACACACACAGACACACACACACACACACACACACACACAACACACACACACCACACACACACACACACACACACACACACACACACACACACACAACACACACACACACACACACACACACACACACACACACCACACACACACACACACACACACACCACACACACACACACACACACACACACACACACCACACACACACACACACACACACACACACACACACACGCATCGCACAGGCGCGCGGGCCAGCACGCATGCACACGTCGCACACACACACAGACACACACAAAACGAGTTGACGCACATGATTGGTCTACGACTCTACGCAAGTGCAGCAGGCACCTCAAAACAGATCAGAACCGTTAGACGCTTCACGTTCATTCGCTACTGCGTGCTGCGGTGAGGAGTGCACACTAATATTCAAGTTTTACTATTCGTAACATGTTTGACACTTGCTTCATAGCCCATGTTGATCAAGTGCCCAACTTAAATAGTCGAATGCGTGCAGGGTATTTTCGAAACGTGGGAACAGTGCAAGGGTTCGGGTTTGAAAATAGCGGTGGTTACCGTAATCCCCCGTATATAGGACCCCCCCCAGTTGTAGACCCCCTGGTCTATAATACGGACCCGGGTACTCTATTCGAGTACATCTGAGTTAGACCCCCTAAATGGCTCCTAACATTATAAGACCCCCCACATACTAGAGAAGTGCGGATTTTACAAAAATATGCAATTGGAAAGGTAACGAATTTCGAATTTCAAATGAGTCAACACCCATTTTCAATGTGTTTGACTTTCGAAGGCTTCACTTGTTTTGCGTCCAGTCGAGATGAGCTGGCACGTGGGCAAAGTGACGTGCCAAATCTCTGTGCACAGTCAGGGAAACGCCCTCGCGCGATTCTAATTCAGGATGCTGTATAAGTAAGATTCGATTGAACTTACGAGACTGAAATGTACAACATCGTGCATTCTTATAAATGTCAATGTGAACAGACCCGGGTCTTCTAAAAAATATACCATTTGATTATACCCCCCAGCCTTTTTAGGGGTGATTATCATAATACCCTAGGGTCTTATACACGGGGGATTACGGGTAGGTGTACTGTATTTGAAGCAGAGGTGTTCAGCGGCCAGCCTGTAACATCACTTTCAAGGTGACTTCTGAGTCGACTCAAAAGTCACCTTGTCGACTCAAAAGTCGGTGTTCAGCGGCCAGCCTGTAACATCAATTTTATTGGAGAAAACAGCCACAGATATAATTCCACATCTGCAACCTGGATGATACAGGAGACACAACTCACCATGATAAATACTGTACTACACATCGCAATAAGCTAAACATCGTCCATTACCATCAGCGCAACAACCGTCAGCATAACAGATATAGAGATTCCACCAGCACTGCAGCATAAGAAAAGGTTGCGGCACAGCAGCAGCCTCACTCACCAATACCGTACTCATCAGACAGGCATGATTCATGAACTAGGCAGCAGCAGAGCCAAAGAGTTTGGCCACCTCATTCCACATGGCCCAGGGCTTGTCAATGAGATCAACGGTGTAGTTGATGTGATGCTGGCTGGGCAGAAACTCAAACTCACACGGAATCTCCGAATCCACATACCCGTTAGTAAGCGCCATGGCAATCGTCCCTTTCACGTTGAGAGGCAGCGACGCGCTGTCTGGCGCCATGGCAGAAAGCTGGCGGAGACTCGCGGCCATGTCAGCGAAGTTCATCAGGGTGAACCCGAGGCACGAGGAGCCCACATCAGGGGGCTGGTTGGGCAAACCACCCACGGTTACCATGGGCACTTTGTGGCGTTTCCCCAGGACGTGCGTGAGGATGGCGCAGGCAGAGAAGCAGTTTCCGTCCGACAGGACCAGGAAGGGCCGGCCGCCAAACACCGGCTGCCGCTCCTTCCCGGTGAATCTGTCGGTCATCTTGAACGGCGCCGAGTAGTTTCCAGCCGGGCCGGCCGCTGTGAAGCGGCGCTCGCGGAAAGGAGCGTAGCCAAACACGCTTGTGAGATTCGTTCCGTTGAGGTCGGAGTATGCGTCGATGAAGTAGAGAGAGGCCGCGTTGACAGCGAGCAGGCCGATGGCGTTCTCGGTGTACTGCGAGCCGATGATGAAATCCATGGGCATGGTGAAGCTTGCGTCGGGGACCTTGGCTGCCCCCATGAGCAGGCGGATGGCTGTGTATGATGCCACCGTGGATCCGCCACCGTTGCCCCGCACGTCTATGATGACCTGAGAGGGCGTTGGACCTGAAGAAGGGAGGGGCATGGGGGGAGTGTGGGGGGACGCATGGGGGGGACATATGGGGAGAGACATGGGGGAACGCATGGGGGGAGGCATGAGGTCAGGGCGCTAGCATGAGGGGAGTGTGGGGGGGAGGCATGGGGGGGAGTGTGCGGGGAGGCATGGGGGGGAGTGTGCGGGGAGGCATGAGGGGGAGTGTGCGGGGAGGCATGGGAGGACGCACGGCGGGAACACATGAGGGGATGGATGGGGAGCACATGGGGAGCACATGGGGAGCACATGGGGAGCACATGGGGAATGCTTGGAGGAATGCATGTGGGGGCAAGGGAGGAGACATGGAAAGGATCATGGGGCAATGAGCAAGAGGGGGAAACGAGGGCGGACAAGTGCTGATGTTAAAAGGAGTGACATGTCAGGTGCATAGCATGAGACAGTGTCGTGTGCCATTGTAAGGAGCAGAAAGGCACAATGCTGGGAGTCGGGACCACATAAGGGTGAAAGAAGGAGTGTTTTGAGACGCCTCAAATCATAAGGGTGGCTGCAGGTAAGGGGTGTAACGAGGGAGGTACTGACGCTGCTGCGGTTTGAAGAGCCTTGGTGACCTCCTGGTCCATGACGTCATCCTTGATGTCGTCACTGAACGTGTGCAGCCAGATCACGGCCGGCTGTTGTCCATCAGGTACACCTGCACAGCCCCCCCCCCCCCACACCCCCCCCCCCCCCACACACACACACACGCACACGCGCGCGCGGGCACACACACACACACACACACACACACACACACACACACACACACACACACACACACACAAACACACACACACACACACACACACACGCGCGCAGCGCGGGCACACACAGACACACACGAAAATGAGTTGGACGCACATGATTGGTCTACGACTCTACGCAAGTGAGTGCAGCAGGCACCTCAAAACAGATCAGGTAATAGCACATCAGGTGGCAGTCAGTTACTGTTGCACACCAGCTGGCACACGCAAGCAAGTCACTTGATGACTCCAGCTGGCACACGCAAGCAAGTCACTTGAAGCTGTGCCACACACGTCAAGCCACAGACGTCATCACAAGCCAAGCACCCACCACGCAAGAACCCTATTACAACCACCAGCATTCACCCCAACGACTGAAACCAACTCGCTCACCAGGAAAAGGTCATCCTTGGGTGAGATCCTCGTTACAGTCGGCCCCCGTACTGCACCAGAAGAGCCGTTTGCTGCTGCAGCAGAAAGCGACGCAATCTCGACATTCAGGTTGCCGCTGCCATCGCTGGTATCATCATAGTAAACTGGATCGGGGTGGCGCTTGAGAAACTTGTAGATCACTGGTGTGTCTGCTGCATGTCCGTGTCCATGGAGTCCGAGCGTGCTTGCGTGCGCGCTAGTGCCGTCAGTGGCATTGCTTGATGGCTCCACGGCACAGAACGTCGCCCAGTATTCCGTGGCGTTTGTGAAAGCAGTCAGGTTTCCTGTCCCGATCCATGCCACCTGAACGTCCTCCGTCGAAGCACTCTTTCTGAGAGGTGCAGTGCAGTGCAGAGGGGAGCAGCACAGAGAGGATAAATCTGGCAGCCGCGGAAGAGAGAGCGTGAGACATGTTCAAAACTGAGCTGACTTTTGAGTCGACTCAAAAGTCAGCTCAGTATAAATCTGGCAGCCGCGGAAGAGAGAGCGTGAGACATGTTCAAAACTGTACGTGAAGAAGAATGAGAGTGGCGAACCAAGGCAGCAAGCAAGAGAGCAAGTGAAAACAACGACACGCGTAGCGACAGGGAGAGCCGATAAGTAAGCATCGACTGTCTGTCACTCACTCGATTGCGAACGACACCAGTAAGGTGTCATTTTCGGGAGCATAGGCTCGCCGGGCGAAGTCGCCTGGCACCTGGACGATGCCTGTCTCCCCCGACGACCCATCCACTATATTCGCCGCGAAAGATTTCGTGAATCGCGCAGCCCGATTGCGAAACATGCCCCCTTCCTTGTCCGCCCAGTTCAGGATGAAATCTTCCGCCTTTTCCCCGTTGATAGCCACCACCTGGGGCGTCGCATGAAACATGGAACATGGATTTGTAAAACAGGTGTGTAATGCATGCAAGCAGGGCGCTGCTGAATGAACCAGGTGCTTGAATGACATTAACGAACCGGGTGACTCTATCAGTTGTTGCATCATTGCATGCATACCTGTTGGCCCTCGTACAGACTGAAGTCAAAATTGTGCAGAACCTTTGCAACATGGTCCAACCCGTTGGGAGTGACATCTGATGGCAAGAGGGATTTTCAAAAGAGAGTTTATGGTTAAGCTTTTTTCGTGGTACGCTCTTTAGGATTGCTCTGCTTTGCAGCAGAATGCCGGGGAATACCATTGAACAACCCTAACTGTTAAGAGTGACACTTACTTAGTGCAGCAGAGCAACCCACAGACAGTACTGCAACACTCACATCGGCGTGGCGCAACGCGAATGATCTGCTGCCCGTTTTCAACAACAGCCATGAGCGGCAACGGCAAGTCGTAACTGCTCCCTCCGAAGCAAGTCGGATGGAACGCGCTGTGCCCGTCGTTGAGCGCGTTGGTCGCGCGGAACGCCGCCATGTGCGCGTCAACCAGCCGAGGGTACTTTCCCGCTTTGGCGTTCGCGACGATTTTCCGCAGGTCCGCGACAATATCGATGCTGCTCGGCAGGTTGGTCTGGTCCGGCGAGTCAACGGCGATGTGCTTGTACACGTAGTGATTGTCGAACGCGTTCGCGATCGACAGCAGGTCCTCCACGTCGCAGTCCTTCCTGCCAGTGGGAGATCGGCCGTGGCAATTGTACAACCGCAAATCAGGCCAACATAAACGAGACCAGAAAGCGTGGAGTTCGGTTTCAGTTCAGTGGCGCATGAAAATAGATAGCGGAAAAGAAAAATATCAGCAAAACTCTTTCACGGTACATGAACGGTGGCGGTACGATACAGTACCTGAACAGGAACGTGGAGTGGCACGCGCGGAAGAGAGAAGGAGCAGCGAATCCTTGCCCTCCAGTCTTGTCCCCAAGTTTCCCCGCAGTGCGATTCAGCTCCGCTGCCAGCGCAGCACACGGGTCGGGCGCGGCTCCGGCTGCGATGAATCCGTTCAGAGGGGCGTCGTGGCACGATACCGCAGGAGCCGGCGCCGGCGCCGGCGCCGCCGGAGCTGGCGCCGGGACTGCTGAAACTGGCTGCCCAGCAGCCACCTCTGCCGGTCCGTCGGACTCCGCGGCAGTGAGAGTGGCGGGCTTCGCGGCGACGGGGAAGAGGCCGTCGTTCCAGAACCAGTGGCGGGCGGACGCGGAGGGCGCCTGGAGCAGCAATGCGAGGACGAGCACGGGGAGAAGCCCCGCCGCCGTGGAGAACGCGCCGCCGCGCCCTTGAGTGACGGCCCGTCGCGGGGCAGCCATTGCGCTGCGGCAGATGGGGGACTGGGTCGGCTACGAGTGCAAGAGAGTGTCAGCGGCGGTAGCAACGCACGCTACTTGTTGGTTAGGAGAGAAAACTGCGGGAATGAACTGTGAGGTGTGGATGGCCGAGCGGGTAAATATATTCCGTGGGAGAGCAGAGCAGGAGAGGCGAATTTGGTTCGGAGCTTCGGTGCGAGTCGGGTCGACGATTTTCCGCCGCCGCGACGCCGCCCATGGTGTGCGACGAGACCCGCTCGGTCGCCCAGTACTAGGGCAGGGGCGAAGTATGGCGAGCGTACGAACCGAACCTGCCCTGGTGTGGAGAACGGACTCCAAAATCCCTGATTCGTCTTGCCCCTACGACACAGCCCCACTGCCTTGCGACGGACTAATGCCATGCGACCTCACTACAGATTGGAAGGGCGAGGCGGCTCCGCAAGTCTTTCGGATAGGTAGCTGGTGGGGAGATGTGCAAGACTTAGGAAGTCTTGTTCGGGTTGGTAGCTGGTGGCGAGAGGCGCAAGACTTTGCGTGACTCAGCTAATAGCACATTGATGAGTTGTCTAGGGATCCGAGCGAGGGCGCATTCCTATGTATAGCGTCGCGAAAAGACGTGTCGAGGTTGATTGTGATGCCTGTTGGAGGTGAGGATGTTACAGCGCAAGTGCAAATTGTGTGGAGTCGTTCCTATCAATTCCCAAATGCGTGAGTCGCCACGATTTTTTCTCGTCGCGAGCGGCTGGAAATGTCGTCTTCGCACTCCGAGCACGGAGTTACCGATTTTTCGCAAGAATCAGTCTAACTGGACCCGGATCTGGAACTCGGCCACCTCCTGTGCGGAGTCTGCTCGTAAATGTGGGCCCTAAGGTCTGAGGTTCTGGGAAAGCAGACGAAATAGAGTAACAGGTGTGTACAAAGTTGTTTTCTTCAAATAACACACATTGAAAGGAGTAACTTCAGAAAGGGTTACACGACGATACGACTGACGATCGCCGCAGAGACTTTCGTCAATCGCTTGACCACCCGCGAGGGCAGGCTGACTGATAGCCCAAGGACCACTCTCCTATTTTTGGCGGGCTGTCAGTCAGCCTACCACAAAAAAATAGGAGTTCTATGTAGGAATCTGTTGGTTTTCGCTCCTTCTCATACAGCTCATAATTGCACGTACCGCTCAAACGCGCTACCGACGTAGGTCGAAAACCGTCGTGGCAAGCTCGCACGTATTAGAGAAGCCGCTTGTTAAAAATCAATCTTCCCAGGTGCGTGCGTAACTGGATGTTCGCCTCCCCTTTCGCGTGTGTCGCACCCACCCTCGTCTCCCTCTCGCGACCGTCTCGCAGACTCGCGCGTTCAGATTTAGGGTTACCATTACGACTCAGCATGCGTGTTCAGAATTTGCGTAATCATACAGTCGTGATCCTTGTCACTCTTTTTCCACGTCTGTCGCGGTTAGCACGCGTTGTCGTGTTACGAAACAGGAGTGACGACTAGTCGCGATTTCCGGCGTTGCGCGTCCGGCGTTGCACACCCGTGGCAAGAGATGAATAGGTTGTGCTCAAGTCGCTTTTCCAGACGTCTCAAGACACGTTTCCCCACCTTCCTCGCTGCAGTGGACAGACGGAAGCTCAAGACAAAGGCAAGACGAGGGACAAGCCGTGGAAGGCGGTTCAGTGAGAGCCAGCACGTGCAGGAGCGACAGCAGGATATAGAGTCGTATGGTGGGTGTCTCGCACGTGTATCGCATGCTGGAGATGTGTCGCATGGTAATGGGTGTATTGCATGGTGGGTGCATGTCGACTTGGTTTTTCCGGCTCCCCTGCTTTTCCTGTATTTTGCTCTCCCTTTCTTTAACCTCCCTCACAACAAACTTTTCGTGGCTGCCTTGGCACAATTCTCCTCACATTCATCTTACATTCGTCTCAGATTCTTCGCAGATTCTTCTCAGATTTGTCGCGGATTCTTTTCAGTTTTTTCCCAGATTCGTCTCAGATTTTTGCCGTCCCACCAAGCTGTTTCAAGGAGCTGTAGCTGTTTCCACCCCCACCACTTGCAGGTGTTGCAGTGGTGGCTTTTCAAGGAGCTCAAAGATGCACAGGGGCAGGCAGAGGTAGCAGCTGACGCTGACAACTCCTGTCTCCCCACCCACCCCCCTGTTCCAGTCTCGTTCATTCCACCCCAGGCGTCGCGGTCACGGCTGTTCAAGGAGTTGAAGGAGGCGCAGCGGGAGGCACGGGTTGCAGCTGACGCTGACAACCCCTATCTCCCCACCCACCCCTCTGTCTTAATCTCGTTCCATCCCTTCCTCTCGTTCATTCCATCACAGGCGTCGCGGTCGCGGCTGTTCAAGGAGTTGAAGGAGGCGCAGAGGGAGGCAAAGGGATCAGCCGATGCTGACATCATCCTGAGCTGTGATGAGAGCAACATCTACAGATGGACGGCCCTCATCAAGGTAGAGTTGAATGGACGGCTGTGATGAGAGCAACATCAACAGATGGATGGCCCTGATCAAGGTATGCAGGATGTGACGGTTGTGATGAGAGCAACGTTTACAGATGGACGTCTATTATCACTGCTTCCGCATCTTCCTAAACCCCTTCGTAACTCAGCCCCCCCTGCTGTTTAGTACATTCAACCTATGATACGTAATGGCCCTGCCTCAAAGCCTAGGGTTGACTCGTGTGCCCCTTCCCTCCCTCCCCCCCCCAACCCCCCCTCCCCCCCCCTCTCCGCCTCTCGCTGCTGCCTACCCTTGACCCCGATGTTCTTTCCCCAGGGCCCAGCTGACACGCCTTATTACGGAGGGCAATTCACCCTCACCATCAACGTGCCCCAGCAGTACCCTCTTGTTCCGCCCCAAGTGCGGTTCGCTACCAAGGTCTTCCACCCCAACGTGCACTTCAAGGTCAGTCAACTCTGAGTCAACTCAAGTCAACCAAGATCTTCCACTCCCAAGTGCACTTCAAGGTCAGTCAACTCCGGGTCATCACATTTCGGCCAATGCACTTTATACATCATCCACATGGCATGGAATCAGCTTCAGTGTGTCTCTCACCTGACTCCCGTTTCTCTCACCTGACTCCCGTTTCTTTCTCTCACTCACCAACTCCTTCCCCTTGCACCCCCTCTTTCCCCCCCCCTTTCCCTCTTCCACGCCCTACCACCCAGACGGGGGAGATCTGTTTGGACATCCTCAAGACCGCATGGAGCTCTGCCTGGTCCCTCACACCCGTGTGCACTCGAGGGACTTCATCCCATGCGTGTGCATCTCCGTCATCACTCTCACCCCTTCGTCCCCCTTACCTCCACTTCCTCCCCTTCCACGCCATGCCATGCAGACGGGGGAGATCTGTTTGGACATCCTCAAGACAGCATGGAGCCCAGCTTGGACCCTCACATCCGTGTGTCGCGCCATCATCACTCTCCTCTGCCACCCCGAGGCCGACAGCCCACTCAACTGCGACTCAGGTGAGTGAGACACATCAGGTCAATCAAGTCCACCAAGTCGCTTCCAGTGGGAATTTTCTCGTGTCTCTGTGTCGCGCCATCATCACTCTCCTATGCCACCCCGAGGCCGACAGCCCACTCAACTGCAACTCAGGTGACTGACATTCCAGCCTTGGATCGGTGTCGAGTCCAACAAGTCACGTTCAAAATGAACCCGTCACGTCCATGAGTCTAATCTCATGTCTCTCTCTCTCTCTTTCCCCCCCCTTGTGTACATACCCCCTCTCGTGTAAATACCCCCTCTCACGTACGTAACCCCTCTCGTGTGTTCCCTCCATGCGACCCCACCCCATTCCCCTGCAGGCAATCTGATTCGAGCAGGTGACAACCGGGGCTATTGCTCCATGGCTCGCATGTACACTAAACTCCACGCCATGCCGCCCGCTGCCAGATGAGGTTGATTTGGCTCACAGATCGACACCATGTTTCCCGCGACCAGATGAATGTTGAAGGTGTTGAGAGTTTCCTGGGGCTCACATGTACACTACATTCCACGCCACACCGCCTGCAGCAAGGAAACCTTGGAAGGCATCAGGTATACCATGGGTATATGTACAAGTTTTTTTTTTTATCTATGGTATGATGCGTGCATCATGATGGTCTTAAAGCGCCAATTTTGCTGCAGCTAGCTAGAATGTGAATGTGGCCTCTCATCTCTTCGCAAACGGAGGACCTGACCTGCTGCAATCTCTTTGCGAACGGAGCACCTGACCTGCTGCAAAGCAGCCATTGCAACCTGCACTGTGCTGGGATTTACAGAGTAAGGAAGAAGCGCACAGACAGACCAAACAAACTTGGATACTGGCATCATCTGCATGTTTGCATCCGTTGAGAATGGCATTTGCTTGCATCCCCCTCAGAAGCGCTCAGTTTCGAGGCGCCTCGAGTGTTGTGAGAGTCGCAATACAGGTAGGTGTGTTGTACTGGCACCAACCATGGCTGAACATTGGAAACACCTCAGAATCCGTGTTTGCAAAGCAAGCAGTGAGGTAGGTGTCAAGTGGCCAGGTGTCCTTTAACCAGGTGGCATTTACCCACGTGTCATAGGTGTCATTTGACCAGGTGTCACTTGGAGAGTTGCCTCTCTAAATCCTCCAGAGATATTGGTGCATGTAGCTGTGTGGGGGGTTGGTGATGGGGAGTGGATATGGGAGAGAAAGAGGATGGAGAATAGAGTGCATGGAATATAGCACGGCGGCGTGTGGCATGGATGTATGGTAGCATGGTAGCGTGGATAACATGGTGGCATGAAGGCACCATGGCATGGCATGGGTTGTGTAAGGATCATGATGTGGCATGGTAACGTAACATGCCTGCCTTGACAGATTGCAAAGCCAATTGTCAGGGTCTTCACAACCCCAACAGCTGATACCTCCCTGACAGCACTATCTCCCAAACAACCCTCCCTCACATCCCCTTACCTCCTTGGCGATCCTCAGCCAATCACAGGCTCTTGCAGGCCCATCACCAGCCTTGGGAACTCCGTCATGGTTCCAATAGGCGAAAGAGGAGAATCGCCCCACAGTCCGCCACTGTGCTGCATGGGGAAAACCAGCTATCACCTCCGTTCCTTCCTCCTCTGCCTCTGCCCTCCCATCTGCCTCTGATTCTCCTACCCCCTGCCCTCTTTCCTCGCTGCTGGTCCTTTCCGTTTCCTGTCTCGTCCTCGCAACGTCCGTGGCTTGCCGTTTAGAGGGAGGTTCAACAACACCTGCTGCTGCTGCTTCTGTTCTTCCCTTCTCCATTTTCTCCAATATGAGGCCTGGAGAGCAGAGAGGAGATAAGAAGGACTGCAGGGGACCTTGAGAATTAGGGTTTCATTAGCAGGCTGATGTTGAAGTTGGAATATTCAAGGGGAAGCGTATGAAAGAAAGGGAAACGCAATCGCTAGACTTTCATCGCATCACCTGTATAGCCGTCAGGAAGGGTGAGGCGCCTTCCCAAAAGCCTCCTGCCTCTAAACGCGGCTTCCAACGGTACTGTGCCATCCGTCATAGTCACATCTGTGAAGATGCCAGCAAGGTCGGAGGGGATGGTCAGAATGTTGAGCTATAGCGAATCGTGTGAAACTTCGAATAAAGCCACCAGAACAAAGTGGAGCCGCCGCTAAAAAATCAAGGTAAGAATGTCCCACCCTTGGCCTCGATTGGACGGAAAAAAACGCGACACGGCAGCTGGTCCGTTGTGCTCAATGCAGCAGGGCAGAAGATGCACGTCAACGCCAACTTCTGGCTCAGAAACTGACGTCTGACAGTCTCGAGGCTGAGAGGTGCCGCTGATCACCCTAATTTCGTCGGTTATGTCCATCGCTGGCGGAAAGTAGACGAACGAAGCGGAGCGCCAACACAGTGCGCTTATGGTCTGATCGACAATGAGTTGCGACTTGGGAAGGAGATGAGTACATGCGGATCCCAAGGAAGCGTAAGTTGTGGGATTTCCCTGACTGCACTGGCATCTCGGACAGGTGGGTAACCAGATAACGTGCGCGGACTCTCACGGACACTTGTGGCGAAAGTTCCTGCTATTTTTAGCTATTCATTAAATACAGGTGGTTACGAAGACCTGGTTTCACTACTGAATGTGGTGAAGCTTTTAGCGGAGCATGTCAATGTTGTCATCTCTCCCTGAGAAATTTTGCTGTTGTCCGTCAAACGTCGCTGCAGAACAGAACCTTCGCTGTATGGAGAGTGATGATTGGTTATGAACCACGTCACAGATGGAACGCGGGAGGTGAGGATCTTTTGCTGATTTGGCGAGGAGGGCACGTCAAATGCTTTTAGATGATCCTCCAAATAAAACCGGTTTTCAGCCTGAGGTACTGTCTGTATCCTCTCAAGCCAAGCCAAGCCCTGAAGCAGGCTAAAGAACAGTTCTTTCGGGCATCGGAATGTCGAAGCTGTCATTTACTGACTAGCAAAATGTGAATCTATTCTTAACCTTGAAACTACAGTACTGCTGCTGTAACGAATAAGTTCCGGTGGAGAAGCGAAAGCTCAAGCTGAATGATGGAAGCAAGTTGGCTGATGCTACTATATGTGTTATTTTATTTGAGATTTGTGGGTGCTTCGAGACAGTATTACATGTGTGGAAGCACCTTCCGGAAAGTCACTGTAGCTGTCCATCTCAGCGCACGAACGGTACACAGTGGATGGAACCAGATAGAGTAACAAATTTACAAGCCTGGATGTAGTTCGTGTAGATCCAGTCCAGATGTCTTTCACGCTGCATTTGCGGGCGTGGTGGCCAATGAACTGGCGTACGCGGGCATCCCGTTCGAACACAATGAGACGCGTCATGAGCAATGCAATAATAAGGATACGATTGTACGATGCCTGACTCGATCTCCCGCTGCCTTATGAACAAGTATGGACCGTAGGATCTCCATCGTGTCGCCACATCGCTTCAGTTTCATCGCTTGCCACATAAGATCCAGCGCTGTGCTGACCCACGTGGCAGGACTCATCAACGTGGGAGAATCCTCGCACATGGGACCCTCGTGCGCGTCTCAGGTCGAGCCGCCGAATGCTGATCCAATTCCTCACCAAAATTCGAATCTCACATTCTTGGTAGGTTTAGGGGCGGACGCGGGCAGAGCACGGCCGCTAGGGGAAAGTCGCGTTTGTTGGTTGGGGACAGGCTTGCACGCAGCCAAAGAAACCGACAACATGTACGACGGGAGCCATTGCCATCTGATTTGACCTCAGCGTCGCCGAAGAGTCCTCGTGAGAATCCTTCGCTTCTTCAACAGCATGCAGTCGACGCGTCCTCTAGCTCGTCCCCTCGTTGGGTTCCACGGCGCTGCTTTGTGTTCTTATACTACAGGGACGGAATAATTCTTCATCATTGACAGGCCTTGCATCCACTTCCTTGTCATCTACTTCGGTCTTTTGTCCACTCAGACCAGTTAATCGGTGTCTCATAATAGTTTATCTTCCCTCGAATCTATAAAAAAACGCTTGGGTTAAACCACCTCGACGTAGAAATATCATAGGTCGATCGTCACCACATAATCCTCGAGGGATTCTTCAACAGTCTGTCAGTCTGCGAAATCCGTGGGTCCACCTATGGAGGGTACGGATCCTGCGTTCTTGCTACCGCACATTCAGAACCGGGGAGGTCCGCAAAACGCGCTTTACAGGTTCCGCGGAGTGCGCCAGCGCACGTGGGGGCGGTGGGTGGCGGAAATCCGCGACCCGGAGCGCAAGGTGCGCCAGTGGCTGGGCTCGTTCGCGACGGCGGAGGAGGCCGCGCGCGCGTACGACGAGGCGGCGCTGAAGCTTTACGGACCCGACGCGCACCTCAACTTCCCCCCGCCGCGGGAAAGCAATCCCGCGAATCGCGCGCAGCGTCACGCCGCGGCGGAGCCGGATCTGGACGTCGCTCGGGAGAATTTCGACAGAGAAATTACCAAGGCTCGTCTTTCAGGTTTGATTGGATCTGACGGTTTCGCATGCGTCATGCCAGGGTTGACGACGACAGGGTTGGCCGGATTGACTGGATTGACTGGATTAGCAGGCCTAAACGGGTTTCAGAACCACGGAAGGTCACCAGGGTTGACCGGATTGACTGGATTGACTGAATTAGAAGGCATAAACGGGTTTCAGAGCCACGGAGCGTCACCTCATTGTGCCGTATCGGACAGCACATGGCGCCAGTTATCACCGGGGGCGCGGACAGCGCTGGCGCGCATCAGCCAAGGCAATCAATTCGGTCACCAATACGGTGTTGGCGCCGCTACTAGCAGTGATGGTGGTGGCGCGGCCATTAACGGCGTCAGCCACGGTGGCGGAGCTCGGGTTAGTTCTGAGGGAGGTGTGATTCAACTGCCGGTTCAAGGAGCGGCGGGTCACTTAATCCATCCACTCGGGACGACAATGGCCATGGCCATGGCTCCTCGCTCAGCCAGCGTGCCGAGCGGCAGCGCGACGAGCTTCACGGAACCCGCGAGTCCCAGGCGAGTGGGCGTGGAGCTCCCGTTAGAGAAGGCCCACAGCCTCGACGCGCTCCCCTCGTTCCAATCACAGTCGCCCAGCGTGGGATTCCAACGGGCGGTCACGGATCGTGGCGCGAGACTGGCTGGGGATGGTTCACAGCAAGAAGAGGTGAAGTGGCAGCGGTACCAGCGGAAGCGGAGAGCAGTGGCGGAGGAGCAGAGGGAGATGAGGGAGCTGGAGGACCTGTTGGATAAGTACAAGCGGCGGCAGCAGGTGCGGCAGCTGCTGTCCGAGGCTGATATCGTCCATCAGCGGGAGATGCTTCTGACAGGCCCGGAGGTGCAACCCGTGATGCAGCAGCAGCAGCAGCAGCAGCAGCAGCAGCAGCAGCAGCAGCAGCAGCTAGCCCCGCAGCCTGGTCCTGGGGCCACTCGCGAAGGTGCAATCATCAGAAGTGCTGCTAACGCCAGGTTCTCTGGTAGAGCAGCAGGTGACGGCCTTCTGGGGAACGAAAATGAGCTCCTAGCAAAGGGTTTGGTGAGCAGCAAAGACATCGCCAGGTTCATCCTGGACCAGAACCTGTCATCGGGTGGTGTAGCGTCAAATGCAGGCCCTTCCACTGTCCCACCCACAGTTCCCGGAACTGCACCGATGGTGCACACGGATCGAACTGGTGTGTCAGATGAGTCGCCCCTTGTGTCACATAAGTTTAGAGATGTGAGCAGGTTGCTGCAAGTGACAGACTGCCACCTGGCTTCGGCGATTGCCACTGGTGGCTTAAACAGTGAAGGCCATGAAGCTGTGCGTGGCCATGGGTACAGAACTGGTGCTGGAGCACCAGGGGGGGATCTAGCTACAGGCTTTGCAGCTGACCAACCACAGGCTCGTCAGACCCCAGGGCTTCCAAGCATGAACACTGCAGGACACACACAGGATCTTCGAAGAGGTGCTGTTTCTTCGTTTATGGGTGAGCCGATGGTGGGAATTCGTAACAGTGTGAATGGTTTGCCATGCACAGGTCAAAGTAGAGGAGATAACATGATGGAGATTCCAGTAGATGGTGTTGGTTCTCTTGGGATTTCTCCCGAAATGGAGGCCATTTCAGGTCTCATTGGTGAAGAGGCTGCTCAGATTCTGCTCCAGGAGCTCCTGTGCAAAGGAGACATTGCAGTAGGCAATAGCCAGTGGGGCATTTGAGTAGAATAGGAATTATATATGAGTGGTGCTTACGTGGACCACAACATGTAGCTCACGTAAAATTGATTTGAATGGTATTATTAGTATTTTTTATATGAGCTGCATTTTCCTGATTCGAAGTCCTACGTGGCAAAATCGTGTATTCTAGAAGGGCGAGACAGACGGTTCGCGAATTTCTCAAGCGGACTGTGTACCGACGTCTTGCTCTGTGTCAGGTTTCGCGAATCTCAGGGCATGCAGGTGGTTCTCGTGCACTCGTCACCATATTCCATCGCCCAGTATGCTCTGACCAGAGCTCTGTAGCGCATATTACCGTCTAATACCGTGATGAAACTTACGTCGGAGCCAGATCCCTCAACTTTCGCAAATCTCTAGGGAAGAAACACAACATTGCTTGGAGGAGTTCCTCGATCGACGCTGTTTATTTCCAGATCCTCGTCATTCATCCGTTCTCATATTTTCCAGGTGAATCGTCGCGTCTCCTCCACCACCACTCACTCCCGATCACCTTTTGGCTTCGCCAGAACGTCCATTCCTCCTAAATCTCGTATCGATCTCGTCCAGTTTCGCAACACTCGCCTCCATGGCAAAGTACGGCGAGGGCGACAACCGTTGGATCGTGCAGGATCGAGCGGACGGCGCGAACGTGCACAACTGGCACTGGGCGGAGAAGGACTGCATGGAATGGTCGCGGCGGCGCCTGGGGGAGCTGATTGGCGGGCTGACGGTGCTGGAAGGGGAAGGCGGGTGCTGGATCCGCACGGGAGCGATTGAAAAGGTGGATGGCGAGGCGTACGTGAACATTCGGAAGGGGAAGATCATTCCCGGGTGAGCTGAGCTTTCAGTCAGGTTTTTCTGTACTGGGGTGGTGGAGGCCTGATCAGCACAAGCACTGTCGAGCAGGTCGTTGATGAGGCTATGATGATGTTTGAGGCGCCTCATAACTTGTCTTCAGTTTCTGATCTTGGTCAGGTTTTGAAGGAAATCCTGAAAAATGCAGGCGTATTTCGGGATTGCTCGAAACTTCCGTTGAATATCATGGCGCAGCATGCCCTCAGCTAGAACCGAGTTCCACCAGGAACCCTACTTTTTCCCTTCCCCATCCCCCCTTCTCCCTAACCCACTCCCCCTCCCGACTATTAGCTATGAGCCTGACGAACCCTATCTTTCAATTCTCCCGTCAGCTTCCCTCCTCTCACACCTCCTCCGCCAACCAGCGACTAGCCTAACAAACTCTACCTTTGCCTTTTCCCGTAATCCCCCGTCCCCATTAACCAATCAGCTACGAGCTTCACGTCCGTCTCGGCTGGGAGGGCGAGGTCAAGGACTCCGCCGACGCTCAGCCCGTCGCGTCCGTTAAAGGCTTCGTGGAACTGCCTTATATCGCGGACGAGAACCACGACGAGGATCCCGAGGTGAAGATTGCCCTGGCCACGGAATCCGCGGAAGGAAACGGTGGAGGGTCGGCAGCAGCCAATAGGCTGCGAGATGCGATGCTGGCGCGAGGCAAGCCGCTTATTCTGGAGAGAATCCGCACGTTCGTTAAAGACATCCAGGCTGGTGGTCCCGCCAGGGACGAGTTAGAAAAGGCTAAGGTAGTGAAACCAGCAGCGGCGGCGTCAACAGCAGCACCAGCAGCAGCGCCTGCAGCATCAGGAGCAGGAGCAGCAGCAGCAGCAGCGGCGGCAGGAGCAGGGTCTGCGCCTGCTGCTGCTAAAACCACCGCGAGCACAGCCCCAACCAGCAAGAGCAAGAAAGAGAGCAGCAGCAGCAGCGGAGCTGGGAAGAAGTCGATTGCCATCACCCAGAGGTTCCACTGCCGGCCGTCGGATCTGTACGAGACGCTGATGGATGAGAAGCGGTGGATGGCTTTCACTCAGTCCAAGGCGAAACTGTCGCGGGACATAGGGGGTACCTTTTCGTTGTTTGATGGGTCCGTGACAGGTGTCAACCAGCGGTTGGACGAGAACAAGCTGATTATGCAAAAGTGGCGGTTCAGTAGCTGGCCCGATGGGCATTACTCCACGGTGAGTGTGGGCAATGGTATACAGTATTGGGCAACAGGGATGGGTGATGTGAGTGGTTAATAGGAGTGAGTGATAAGAGTTGGCGAGAGTAGTACTAGATGGCAGTTATGTGGCAGTAGTGGGTGATATTAGTAGTGGGTGTTTGTAGTTATGGGTGCATATGGTAGTGGGTCATTACGTCACAACCTTCACACTATCTGTTTCCAGACTTTTGTGCACTGGATGCTCAATTGTTGCGCATGTCTGTGCTCTCCTCCTCTAATTGGTGCAGGTGTGCATAACCTTTGAGGAGCCTCAAGTGGGTGACACCATTCTGCGGCTCACACAAACCAACGTGCCTGAAGAGGACAGGTGAGTGCCACAGCGACCAACATTTTTTTAACTGAAATAAAAGAAGCACACTGATGATTTGCGCTTGGAGTAATTTATGTGCTTTTTTGTCATCACTGGTCATCGTTCTGTGATCTTAGCTAATGATGATGATTTCATACGTTGCAGGTTTGGGAATGCCACGGTTTTTGAAACAACCGAACGTGGCTGGAGAGATCTCATTTTTGCTAGGATTCGTGCAGTTTTTGGTTTTGGGGCATAATATGAATTACTGAGTTTTTTAAGAAGTTGTTTCTTGTAGTTTTTTATGCTCGGGGACAGACATTTGTTGTGCCCAGCTGTGCCACTTCTAGTAGCTAGTTTCGTAGCGCGGACGTAATCTTCAGCTCCGGTTTCCACGATTCCCGTCAACACTTGACCGTCAATTCACTGGTGTTCAGTGAACACTGCTGAATTAAGTCAGGCGCATGTCAGTCAGGCAATCCCAAGCACCTACAGGCTGGGAGGCAAGTCTCGTGCACGAATATCCGCACCAGTCTCCCCGTCATTTCTTGAAGAATGCCAGATTCTGACCTCGGTAGTCAGCATTGAGGCAACCTCGAGGGGTCAATGCCTCAATGCTGGAATTTATAACCTCTGTCTGGAATTTACAAGCATTGGACTAGGATGGTAGCAATTTGGTGAGCGTCGAATTGTTGCGTGACCACGACTGGCTCCAGTAAAGGACTACTAAATAACTAACCACGATTGGCTGCCGCGTTATAGCATAGAGTCTCACGTTGCCAATCAGGCTACTGCGTTGGGTTTTTCGGAAACAGGCGACAATGAGCTCAGTTAATTTCTATCTCTCGCGAATGAAAGGAGTGACGGAAACGCCGACTCCGGCAGCGAAAGTAGAATCGTCGCCACTGGACTCTTCAAGACCAACGGCCGCCTTAAAACCCGTGTCAGAAACAATAGTATCTTCGTCGCAGTCGCAGACTCGGGCTGATGATCCCAGAAAAGCGGTAACTGTGGAATCACAGTCAGCAGCAGAAGCAGTGACAGTCAGATTGCAAGGCTCTGCTGGAGACGTCGACGGCGACGTTAACAATGACGGATCCAAACGGCTATCGGTCAGAGAAATGAGAAATCGCTTCAACGCAACGAACGATCGGGTGCCATTAGCGCCAAAGGCGCCGATTCGGCCGAACACATCGATAGCTGTGGATTGGGTAACCAAGGGCGGGAAAAATGCCGTGCACCGGGGCGACTCGAAGTTCGTCCCTAGGCCTGGTGTGAAGGATGAGGGCTCTGTCGCTGCCACGTTAGCAACCAGGCCTCCAGCTGACAGCAAGAGTGCTGTTGCGGACCCTGCTGCTGCTGGCGCAAGTGAAAGTAACACTGGCGACAAAGTCAGCGGGGTCAGTGAGAGCAGCAGTAGTGCTGACAGCGACACGTGGGAGGCTCGGATTCGCGCGCTGGAAGAACAGCTAGAAAAAACGAACGTGGAAACTGCGTTCCTGAAAGCGCGGAACACGGAGCTGCAGGCTCGGCTGTTAGCTAAGGATAACGAGGTGCGCCCTCAAGTGGTGAAAACCAGACTGCCTGTCTCAACCGCAGCAGCAAAGTCAGCGGGAGAAGCGGAGATGAGAGGAGGAACGGGAGGGATTGGCGGTGTTGGCGTGGAAGGGAGAGGCAGCAGCAGTAGCGGGGGTTCTGTTGAGCAAAGCAGCAGTGGCAGCAAGAGCAGCAGCGGTGGGGATGCTGGTAAAAACGACAGCAGTAGCGGCAGAAGCAGTGGCGTCAGCGGTGACGAGGAGAGTGGGAGAGAGGACGCGGTGACAGGCAGAGGAGGGCAATGGAGTACTGTTGAGGATGGTGTTAGCAGCAGCGATCACAACAATAGTGGGATGCCGTTGGAGTTGCAGCTGGCAGCAGCTCACGCGAAGATAGCTGTACTGGAGGTGAGAGGCTGAGGGTTTCCCTGACAGCGGACAGGTAAGCACGTGGGATGCTCTTGCTAATGGTGGGGTTCAGAATTTTGTTTGTTCAGAAGCAGCTCATGCGAGGATAGCTGTACTGGAGGTGAGATGCTGAGAGCTTTGCTGGCAGCATCGCTGGCAGTGGATAGACAAGCATGTTTCGTCTTCCAACTTTTTTCTATCACCTAGAAGTGCATGGTAACATCGCCGCTGCTATGGCTTCCCTGCTATTGCGTCCCTTGCTGTCGCATCCCTTGCCGTTGCCGCTCTTTTCTCCAACATGCTGCTGATTTCGTCCCTGCTGCCTTCCCTCATGCATCTCTCTTGGTGATGCATTCGATCTACCTCTAACAGCCTCCTCAACCCCCACGCACCACCCTTCCTCTCCCCCACCCCACCCTCACTGCCCCCCACAATCCAGAGGCTACTCAAGGCCCGAGCCAATCAGTCTCCTCTCCCCCGCCTCCCCTCCGCCTCCTCCCCGTGGAAGCCCATCCCCCGCCCGCCCATGCCGTCCCCTGCCTCCCAAGCGCCTGCGCAATCCAAACCCTATGTTCTGAGCCGTGTAAAGCAAGAGCCTAGAGACAGCAGCGGTGGGCTACAGCACACGGGCGTGGTGCAGCACACGGGCGTGGTGCAGCATGAGGGGCGGAGAGACGAGGGCTTGTCCGTGAATTCGCAGTCAGGTCTGGGACGCCATGCCGGGATGAACACTGGGATGGGGAACGCGGCTGCTGAGGGGGGTATTGGAATGGGTACGGGAGTGATTAGTGGGGTGGATGCGGAGGTGGGTACAGAGGCGGTGGCGGAGGGAGGGGTGGTGCTGGTGGTGCGGCCGTGGGACAGTGAGGGCGTGGCACGGCTGCAGCAGGAGCTGGCAGAGGCAAAGGCGGTGCAGCAGGCAACAGCGGGGAAGCTCAAGGCGGTTGAGCAGCAGCTGGGAAGACTCTATGCCGTGCGAGAGGAGGTGAGCTTGGGCGTCAAGAAAGGGATCGGTAAGGTAAGCTGGCAGAGGCCCAGGCGTTGCAGCAGGCGTCAGTGGGGAAGATCAAGGCCATTGGGGGCCAGTAGGTGGGGCGACTGGCTGGCGTACGAGATGAGGTGCGGCACCAGGCACTGGGTTCAAGTACGTATGGCTATAGGGGGCAGGGTAGTCCCAATTTTTGAGGTGCCTCAAAAGTAGCTGCGGCACCAGGCACTGGGTTCAAGTAGGGCTATACAGGGCAGGGCAGTCTCAGTGCCTGCCATGCAGGCCTATGGTTGCATTTCACAGCTTTCTTTTGCACTTACTCTTCTGCTGCCTCTCCCCTTGTGTCTGCCTATTTCCGGTTGCTTGTCCATGTGTGCAGGGTTACCATGTAACACATGCGGTTCCTGTGCGGCATGTGTACACTCGCAGCTGGGTGTAGCTCGCCCCCTTGTATCCACATATGGTACTGTATTTGCAACTTGGGTTGTGTAAAGAGGACAATGCCTTCCAGATGTTTTGATTCACATGTTACAGCTTAACTTAAGGACCTTGCAGAATGGTTATTCTCTCTTCACTAAAAAGGACCTTGATGGACATCAATCTTCTCATCAGTGCCACATCTAACCAAACCAGTGCAAAAAGCCAGTAAAACAATAGTTTCAGTAACAGTGACTACACTACACCTTGCCCTCGTACTTGTAAGATTCGTCATAGCTTTGCTTCAAGCGGGCAAGAGCGGCCCTTCGGGAATGACCTGCAGGGGGATAATACGGTGAAGGGGAGGATAAAGGAGACACTAAGAAGGGACAGCACTTCATGGGGCCAGGAAGAAGGGAAAGACAGCAAGGGAGGAGGACACTCTATGGGATGTACAAGTGAGGCAGGAGATAATGGAAGGGTGGAGGGGAGGAGAAGGGGGGAGGAGTGGAGGAAAGGAGGGAGGGTACTGTCTGGATCCGAGCGCCATGCACAGGAACTTCAGGCCGTGACGTGCGGTGCGCACACATCCTTAAGTGCGAGGCACAGGCGTGGTAGCAGGCAAGGGACGGTTGGTGGGGATGATAGACGAGAGGAGGAGAGGGGAGGACAGAGGGGAGTGATAAAAGAGAGGATAGAAGCAAGTGAGGGTTCTGACCTGATATGGCAGGCATCGGTACGGCAGCAAGGGAAGGCTAGAAGATAGAAGGGAAGGGAGGGTTCTGACCTGATCCGAGCGCCATGTGCAGGAACTGCAGGTCGTGCGGTGCGCACACATCCATAAGCGCGAACGCCCCTGGCTCCAACGCTGCTTCCACAGTGCTGCGGGGTTGAATGCGGTGGAGTGGGGTGGATGGGAGAGGGTTGCTTGTGGTGATGGTATGAGGTGGTTGCTTGGATGGGGTGACATGGTGATGGGGTGATGTACTTTTGTGCTGATGTGCTTAGGTGGTGCTGTGCTTATGCAGTACTGTGCTGTCGCGCCGTCGCGCTGATGTGGTGTAACATATTCCTGTGCTCATAATGTTGATCCATGAGCAGACACATGACCCAGGAGTAGCAACAGCAGGAAAGCAAGACAAGCTCTGAATTCTCTAAAAAACACACCTGGGCAATCCGATAACCTGCTGCTGCTGTTGGTTGCTCTGCTGACCAACACCAGCTCCAGGGCTGATGGGATCGAAGCTAGCAGTGGTGAAGGGCGACTGAAGCTGCTGGAGCAGAGCTGCTGCTGGAGTGGTGGGTGAGGCGGTGGCGACGGTGGCAGTGGTGGTGATGGCGATGATGTAGTCTGCCAATAGCAGCGGACAGATCTTGCTGAGCGTGGTACGCTGCTCCGATACCTGCCATGCAGATAGGAAAGGGATGGGAGAGATGTAAATAGGATGGTAGTGTCATGAATCTGGTCAGTTAGTGGCAGTGGTGGTGGTGGTGGTGGTGGTGGTGGTGGCGATGATGTAGTCTGCCAATAGCAACGAACAGATCTTGCTGAGCGTGGTACGCTGCTCCGATACCTGCCATGCAGATAGGAGAGGGATGGGAGAGATGTAAATAGGATGGTAGTGTCATGAATCTGGTCAGTTAGTGGCAGTGGTGGTGGTGGTGGTGGTGGCGATGATGTAGTCTGCCAATAGCAACGGACAGATCTTGCTGAGCGTGGTACGCTGCTCCGATACCTGGAGTGTGGAGAAGGGGAGGATGGAGGTGAAGTGAAATGAGGATGGGAGTGAAGTGAAATGAGGATGGGAGTGGTGGGTGTAGCGGTGGCTACGGTGTCAGTGGTGGTGATGGTGATGTTGCAGTCTGCCAATAGCAGCGGACAGATCTTGCTGAGAGTAGCGCGCTGCTCCGATTCCTGTTATGGAGAGGAGGAGAGGACGATAGAATAAGAGTAAAGTGAAACCAGTCGGAGAAGGATGGGAGTGACATGAAACTGGTCAGACGATATGGTCAGCAAGCAGCAGCGGGCAGATCTTGTTGAGCGTAGAGCGCTGCCGATACCTGTTATGGAGAGGAGGAGAGTAGGAGAAGAGGAGAGGAGGAGAGGAGGAGAGGAGTCAAATTATAACAGTAAGCGATGACAGGATGCCTTGTTCAATTGATCTTTTGTTCATTGACAGGATGGCAGGCAAGTGACAAGGAAGGGGAGGGAGTAAAAGCTTCTATCTTGAACAAGTGAGATTCCATTGTTGCCAAAAATGAGTAGGAGGGAAGGGACTCGCTTGCGATTGGCAGTGTGAGGGGGAAGCAATGAAGGAGAAAGCATCAACAGGAGCAGAGTGGGAGACGGGGTCTCGTGGCTGCCAATCACCACACAGAACCATACCATCACCACACAGAACCATACCATCACCACACAGAACCATACCATCACCACACAGAACCATACCATCACCACACAGAACCATACAATCACCGTACAATCGCCGGACAGCACCGCGTAGCACAGCACTGCATAGCACAGCACCGTATGCACTGACCTCATCATACACCCGTCTCAGCCACAGCGCACAGCTGGCAGCCGTGGCTTCATTATAGTCACAAGCGAGAGGCAGAGAAGAGAGGTTGGAGGAGAGAGTGGAGGAGGAGGCGAGTGCTTGCGAGGAGGACGATGGGGAGGGGGAGGAGAAGAAGGGGGAGAAGGGCGAGAGGAGGGTGAGCATGCAGCGGAGGGATTGAACGAGGAGCGCCATGCTGTATCGCACATAGCTGTTGCCATGCATGGCATGCAAGGGTGGGGTGGGGTGGGGAGCAAGGAAGGGAAGGAAGAAGACGCGATGAGGATGGGAATATCCCCGAGTGAGTGAGTAAGTGAGTGCATGAGCACTTTTTAGAGTGCATTACTATGTCGTCAAAATGCGTTGAAATAACGGTGTTGCTGTGAGTGTGCATCCTGCACGGCTCCTAGATGATGTCTATAAGCGACAAGTGCTGAGATGAAGCTCACAAGAGATAGAAGGGTAGGGAGGCTGCTGCATGCAAAACACTTCGAGATAGTACCGTAACACGTGCTGGTATGAGCAGCAATTCACACATACCGGCTCCTCTGACGAATGATAGCACAAAGCAGCTGGCAGAAACCAACAAACAACGCCGCCCGTTCGCCCAGGCCCATGCCAACGAGCGAATCAGGAGAAGCTGCAATGGAGGGCAGAATGAGGTTCGGGCAGGCGAGACCCAGGCTGACGTGGCCTGCCCGAAAAGGGAAAATTGCGCTCCGGGCAGCGAGAGTCGTGAGAGCTGACAGGCTGTGATGGCAGATGGTGAAAAAACTGGCAGGAGTAATGGAAGGAGCGGGTGAGAGGTTGAGCCAAGGAAAGAGTGAGGGAGCGAGTGCGGGTACCGAGGGCACGTGAAAGGCGGAGGAGTCGGAGGATGGATAGAGACTGGAGAGAGAAGAGAAGGGTGAGAGAGTGTGGGGGAGCGTGTGCAGGGGAGTGTGAGGGAGAGTGTGAGGGGGAGAGTGAGGGAGGGACTGAGAGTGTGTGTAGGAGGTAATGGCTTTGAAGAGTAGGGAGGCGAGGAGGGGCGAGCGGGCAGCAAGGAAGTGCAGCGACTGGCCGCTGGGGCAGCTGTGAATGAGCTTCTCTGCCAGCACTGCCACCGCATCCAACCCTATTGGACCGTTCTCCAATCCTGCTGAGCTGCCAAACTCCGTTGAGAGGTCCCCTTCTGCATGAGCAGCACTCCCCTTGATATACGTGCTTTGCCCGCTGGCCCCAGCCCTCGCCTGCAGCCTCGCCTCTCCTCTCTCCTCTCCCCTCTCGCCTCCCCTTTCCCCTTCTCCCAGCCCTGCCCACCCTCCTCCAGCGCCCCCCTCCACGTGCAAGGCGAGCTCGTGCCTGCAGGTGCGGAAGACCACTGCCACCCACCCGTGCCACGCCCACTGCACAAACTGCTTCAACGCCCCGTCTGTGGCTTGCACCAGCGACGCCACCACTTGCCGTGCTGCCTCTACTTCCGCTGCTGCTGATCCTGCAGAAAGTGACAGTGACTGTGACTGTAAGGAGAGGGCGGAGAGGAGCGCCAGGTGGACTCGCACGATTCGCCGGAAGGCGGAGGCGGGGGGGTGGGGAGATACGCAGCGAAGCATGCGCGTGCCAGCGACCTGTGTGAATTGCAGCACCGCCAGGAGGAGAGGCGCTGCAGAGCGCAGCACAGCTGGGACTGAGGCAGAACCACCACCTGCTTCTTTCGGTCCCGGTGCCGCCACTCCTGTGGACACTGCAGCAGCTGTAGCAGCTGTAGCAGCTGTGACAGCTGTGACAGCTGTGACAGCTGCGGCAGCTGCGGCAGCTGTGGCGAGTTCAGAAGAGGGCGTTGGAGGTGCCGCTTGGGCATCCACTCGCAGCAGCAGGGAGGCGTGGTGGAGAATGAAGAGGGCGGACGCAAGCCTGGGCTGCACGGCGCTCTCAACAAACGCACGCGACAGGACGTACCTCTTCTGTGCTTCTAGCTGCTCTCCTCCCACAACTCTCCGCTCCTCTTCCTCCTCCTCCTCCTCTTGCTCCTTCTCTTTCTCCTCCTCATGCTCCTCCCCTCCCTCCTCCTCTCCCTTCACCTGTGCACCCCGTTTTCCCCTCCTCTCTTTTCTTCTCCCAAGCCCGTTTCCTCCCTCTTGAGCCGACTGTGCCGCCTTCTCCATTCCACCTTCTCTGGGCGGTTCCTTATCCCCCTCGGTCATGACTAGGGCGCACCTGAGATGCAGCGCAGCAGCGGCAGCAGAGAACAGGTGGGCTGCTGTGACACAGTCGGATGCGCTTGTAAGGAGGCGACGGAGGGCGTGTTTCTGTGAGTCTGGAAGGTGGTAACTGCGTAACCAGCTCTCCTCCCACTCTGCACCTTCTCCTCTTCGTCCCACTTCTCCTGCTCCTCCTGCTGCTCCTCTCTCTGTCTTGGAAGGTGACTGGGGACGTTTGAGTCGACTCAAAGGTGACTGGGGACGTGGCTTCTTCCCCCGCTTGCTGGCACTTGCATCTCCATCCACTTCCATCTCATCCCCAGTCTCCTCCTCACTCTCCTCCTCACTCTCCTCACTCTCCTCACTCCCCTCACTCTCTTCCTCACTTTCTTCTTCACTCTCTTCCTCACCCTCCTCTTCTTCACTCTCTTCCTTACTGTCCTCACTCTCATTCTCCTCACCATCATCGTCCTCAGCCTCACTTTCCTCTTCCTCGCTCTCCTCTTTATCACTCACCTCCTCATCTTCCTCCACCCTATCCCCACCTATCCCCTTCACATCACCAATACCATCCCCATCACCACCAACATCCCCACCACGCACAGCATCCAAACCACCATCCTTAGCCACATCAAACCCCAGTCCATGCAGCGGCAGCCAATCCAAACCATCCTCCATGTATTCTCCTCCCACCTCCTTTTCCTCTCCTTCTCCTCCTCCCTCCTCTCTCCCCTTCTCACTCTCCCCCAGCATCCCCCTCAACGCCCCTTCAACAGCAGGCTCCAGGCAGCCAATTAGAGCACGCCACGTGGCAGGGATCTTACCACCCCATCGTGCCAGCAATGACCCTTCACTGCCCACCTCACCAACAGCTGTAGCCGAACCCACTGTAGCACGCGCTACAGCCGGTGCTGCTAACTCATCGCCAGCATGGCTCAATCCGTCTGCTACAGCTGCCATCTCCCACAGCGCTCCCGAGCTCACAGCCGCCGCTACAGCCGCTGCAGACGCCTCCGCAGCAGCAGCAGCAGCTGGTGCTACAGATGCTGGTGCTGCTGTTGCTACAGCTGTTACAGCTGATGCAGCAGCAGTAGGAGTGGGGTTGCAGCGGGGGACCCAGGCGAGGATCTCAACGGAGGAGATGAGAGCTGTGGCAGTCTCGGGATGGGAGCGAGACAGACGGGCGATGGCAGTATCCACATCTGTACCTGCACCATCCACACCATCCGCACCATCCACACCATCCGCACCATCCGCATCATCTGCATCATCCATAGCTTCTTCCCTCCCTTCTGAATTCTTGCCTTCCTCCTCGCCCCTCTCCTTGCTCCCCTCCTCCCCACCATCCATCATGACTGCATGCACTGCCATGCCCACTGCTGCTCCACTCGCCGCCACCATCGCTTCCCATGATTCCTCAACCCCCAATGCCTCCCCACCCCCCATGGCCACCCCAACCCATTCCATCGCTTCCCATGCCTCCCCATCCCCCATTCCTCCCCCATCTCGCACTGCCCCTCCACCCTCCCGCAATGCCCCCCCAGCCCATGCCATCTCCTCCCCTTTCCGTCCCTCCTGCTGTTCCCATCGCTTCACAGCACCTGCTCCCACCGAGCCTACCACCAGCCATGGTAGCAGCTTCGGCACCAGACCAGACCCAGGCTCGGGGCAACTTGGTTCGGAAGGCGAGGGATGAGAGAGGGATTGGTGGAGGGAGAGAAAACGGAGAAGGGTGATTCTGCAGGCAAGGGAACAGTGCATGAGGAGAGAGGAGGGAGAGGAGGAAAAGGAGGGGAAGAATGATCGCTGCTGCTGCTGTTGGTGGGTTGATAGAGTGTGAATGTGACAGTAATGAGAGGCAGATGTAGGTGAGGGAGAAGGGAGAAGCAGAGGCGCCATGAAGCACCGTTCAACGCCAGCCAGGCATTCGACCAATCGCAGCGCATCTGAAGCCGTCCAGCAGTCAGGGGGGACCGCCTGTAGCAGCTGCAGTAGCACCAGCACCAGATCTACCTCCCCTGGATCTACCTGCCACTCCCCCTCACTATCCCTTTTGCCCTTCCCCTTCTGCTCTCTCACTTCTCTCCCACCCTCCTCCCCACCCTCCTCCTCTTCTAATGAGTCAGAATCTGTGCCTGCTGAGTCAGCATCAGGGATGTGAACAAGATGGAGGACTGAATCTGCCAGCTCAGCAGCTGCCTGATCAGCCAACATGGCGAGCATACTCCCTGAAAACTTCTTCTCGTTAGTATCACTCACGTTACTATCACCTCTACCACCGACCGCAGTGGAGTCGTCTCCTTCCTTCCCTTTTTTCTTATTTCCTTTCTTTTTTTTTGAACTAACCTCTGAGGTCATTTGTCCTTCTCTTCCTGCGTGCTCATTGCCTGGAATTGTTAGGTCAGACAGCAGTGAAACCAAGCCGGCCTTGCACCTTTCTGCTAGGGCAGAAGGTGGGCAGGTGGTGGAGAGTTTCAAGCTGCCCTTCACAGCTGCCCGCAGATTAGTCACAAATGACTTGGCCAAAACGTGACGAACATTCTGCGGGCACATGTGGGTGTGGGGGAAAGAAAATGATTGATGTGAAAGATAAAAGGGATGACATACCTTTGGGGGAGGGGATTGCGCGGGACTCAATAATAGTAAGTTTACTTAACAATTATGAGCAGCAGGTAGCAGGGAGAGAAGTTTGGGTGGGCCGGGGGGAGGGAGGAAGGAGCAGTGATTCGGGTGAGGTGAGGGGATGCGTGAGAAAGATGGAATGGAAGCAGTGCATTCAACAGAAGCACGTATCCCAACCAGACGCCACTCGCCACTCACCTGATCTAGAACACGGAATTCCGCAGCGCCGCCAGAGCCGCCACAGCCGTCCCTCTCAAACCACCAGAGGGGCAGCGGGGACGATTTTGAGGCGCCTCAAAAACGACCTCAAAGCCGCCACAGCCGTCCCTCTCAAACCACCAGAGGGGCAGCGGGGGGATCCAGAGAGGGAGAGCAGAGGAGGCAGCAAGGGAGGACAGAGGGGACCCATCAAACCAGACGCCACTCACCTCAATCTCGAAGAACACAGGATTCCGTAGCGCCGCCACAGCCCTCCCTTCTGCACCCCCCGCCACCTCCTTAACACCTCCTGCACCACCAAGCACCTCCCTAGCAGCGAGGGCGAGCAGCAGCAGCACAAACTCCCTCACGGCGGGGCGAGGGGCAGCGGGGATCCAGAGGGGGAGAGCGGAGGAAGCAGCAAGGGAGAGGTACGCCGCGTTGAGATCCCCGCCGCTGATGCTGCCCACTGTTCCGTCCCACTGCCTCCCCCTCCTGCTCCGATACCTATCGCTTCCCTCGTGCTTTTCCTCCTTCCTTCCTGCTCCGGCGTCCCCTTTCCCGCCTGTTTCTCTCCCCATCACCACCCACCGGCTCCGCCCCTCTCCCGCCCCCACACACCCGAACGACAGCTCATGGGCAACAGCAGCAGCCAGCGCACCAACACCACTCCCCACCGCTCCATCTTCCCCCACACCCCGCGCTCCCTCTGCTCCTCCCCGCTTCACCTTCTTCCTCCCCTTCCCCGCCTCTGCTGCTGCCTCCGTCTCTCCCCACAGTCCGCCACTCTTACCACCCGCACTGCTCGCACCCAGAGGCAGCACCGGGGAGAGGGAGGAGAGGGCAGTGGTAGCAGCAGAGAGGGTCAGGAAGCGCAGCCGAAGCAGCTCTCTGCTTTCCTCCCCTTGCTGATCCTCTTCGTCCTGCTGCTGCTCTTGTTCCTCCTCTGCCTTTCCATTCATCACTCGGTTCAGCCAGCCAATCACAAACCGCCATCTGGAAGCAGGCTGCTCCAAAGCAGCAGCTCCAGCAACCTCCCCTGCCGAACCTGTCCCTGCCGAACCTAACTCTGCCGAGCCAGTTTCTGACGAGCCTGGCACGCTTACAGCAGGATCGAGCGGGAGCGGGAACGAGAGGCTGAAGCGGTGGCCCATTTTGGACTCTTCTGAGGGAGGTGCATTGTACAGACACCGCAGGTGCAGCTCATGGGCAGCCAGAAACATTTCAAGGCCTGCCCCGATGCTTGCTGCCGCACGGCGAACAAGGGTAAGAGCAAGGTCGGCAGTAGAGTCCTTCCCATTCCCATTCCCATCCATCCAATTGGTTCTTGCCAGCACAGCAGCCACCCACTTGCCCAACACAGACCGCCCAAGGGACTGCACTAGACGACAGACGTTGCCGTCCACCTGGATGGCGGTTCCCAGTGCAACAGGCAGGCTGCGGAGCACTGTAGCAACGAAGCTGGAAGCCGCCCAGGTGAGCCTATCCTGTGCTCCCTGCATCTGATTTTTCACCTGAGAAACCACCTGGTCAGCCTTCCCCTTCTTTGCCTTCCTCCCCTTCTGTTTCTCCTCCTCGCCCCATCCCACACCCTCCATTTCCTCTTTCTTTCTCCCTCCCTCAGTGTCACCCTCCCAACCAACCACCAGCATAACCTGCTCCTCCCCGAAGCTAAGCAGCAGGCTCGGCACCTGGCCTGGAGGGACCGCAGCAGCAGCCTCCCGGACCACCGAGAGGAGGTCAGGCGACGACAGGAGCGCCGCAGATGCTGCCACTGCTGCAGGCGATTCCGATGCTACCAGGGAGGGCAGGGTAGAAGGTAGCGAGAGAAGAGGTCGCCTGGAGCCAAGGGTGGAAGAGAGAATGGCTCGGATGGCCAGCACTAGCTGTATATGCGCACAGAGGGATGTGCCGTGCCAGAACAGCACAAGAGAACAGGGACAGGGACAGGGAAGAGCAGGGCCAGACAGGGCAGGGCGTGAAGAGGTTGGGTGGAGGATAAAACGGCTAATAGGACCAGCAGCAGCTGCTTAGGGAGAGAGGGATGAGTAGCGACAAACCACACACAGGGTGGGTCGGGATGAACAAGGCAAATCAAAATGTACGGGGTGTTGCGTGTCTCACACACATGCACGCCTGCTTGCTTGCACACATGCACACGCACACACACACGCACGCATGCACGCACACATACACACACACACACACACACACACCTGTCGCATATCTTTCCACGTCACCACCAGCTGACTGGCAATCTTGACTGCCGCCACCCACACTGCCGCCCACCCTGCCGCCCGCTGCTCCTCCAACATCCGCTTGTTACCACCTGCATCAAACCCTTCCGATCGTGCCTTCTCGCACGCAGTGCAAGCCCCAATCACAAGCTGCCACGTGGCGTCATGCAGGCCATCCACGAGCACCACCACCCTAGGCTCCAGCCGAACCAGCCCCCAAAGCAGCTGGAGAATCTCGGCCCAAACCTGAGCTGCTGCTGCGTCCCCTTGGTGCCTCCCATCACCATCACCGCTAGCACCGGCGACAGCAGAAGCAGTAGCACCTATCCCAGGCTTCTGTACAACGTCCCACATGCGCCACGCACTGCCCACCTCCCCTGCCAGCCCAGCCAAGTGCAACAGCAGACCCAGTCTCGTCGCCCCTCCCTCTCCCCCTGCTCCTGCTTCTACTCCTACCCTCCTTCCTCTGCTTCGTCCGCTGCTGGTGTGGCCGCGGCTGCTGCCAATGCTGCTGTCGCTCACGTCTGACAGCCCATCGTAGATACCCTCCTCTATGGCAGCGTCCACCATTGCCCTTGTGCCACGTAGCACAGCTGCCAGGCTGGCAGGATCCGCAGCACTGCTTGCTGCCGACTGGTTACCACCTCGGCTTGCTTTGCCTTGGTGCTGCTGCTGCTGCTTTCGGTGCTGCTGGGACCACTGGTGCTTGTGGTGGTGGTGGTGGTGGTGCTGCTGCTGCTGCTGCTGCTGCTGCTGCTGCTGCTGCTGCTGCTGCTGCTGCTGCTGCTGCTGCTGCTGCTGCTGCTGCTGCTGGTGCTGCTGCTGCTCTGCCTGCGCGCCCCCCTGTGTGAGCGCCACCACTTGGCCTCGCAGTTCGCCTATCAGCGGCCTCAGCAGATGCGCAAAAAGATTGAACCGCGACTGCAACAGCTGAGACACTTCCGGATCATCTGCACCCAATACTCCTCCCATACCTCCTCCCTGCCCTCCCCCTCCTCCTCCTCCTCCTCCTCCTCCTCCTCCTCCTCCTCCTCCTCCTCCTCCTCCTCCTCCTCCTCCTCCTCCTCCTCCTCCTCCCCCTCCTCCTCCTCCTCCTCTCCCTCCCCCCACTTCCACACCCCTTTCCCCTGCCTTCTCCTCTCCTTCTCCCTCCCCTCCATCCCTATCACCACTCACCCCTCCTTTCCCCCCCTGAACTGCTGCTTTTCTCCTCTTCCCCCTCCCTCCCACCTCGCCTACTCTCTCTCTTGCAATTTCCACCACACTCCGGGAGTAAATCCCAAACATCCACCCAAGGCTGTGCAGGATCGGCACGTTCCCGGACCTGATCCCAGCCTCGAGAAACGCCAGGAACTGCCGGTGGTAGCTGCCGAACCTGCCTTCCTCCCCCAAACCTTCCACATCTCCATCACCCTCACCCTCACCCTCTGCCGCCCCCCCAACATTCCCTCCCTTCCGTCCATGTCTTGACTCCCCAGGTGTTTTCTCAGGTGTTCCTCTGTTGCATGTTCTCTGCCCACCCATTCCCCCAACCTTACCACCACCACCACCACCCACACCAGCAGCCATAGCAGTAGCTATACCCGCGCACTGGGACACATACCCCTCTGCATGCACGCGTCCAAACAACGCCTCCTTCACAATCACGTCCATTGCAGATAAGACTAAACCCACCGTGTCCTCCCCCAACTCTCCTCCCCCCTTCCCCAGCCGCCCCTGACCCTGAACGAGGTGTGTCCTTAGCTGCAGCACAAGGGGCAGCAGGCGAGAGAGCACAGCAACAAACACCTTCTTGCCCTGCGGGTGGCTTGATGCGAACACACCAAACCCATGCAGACACACACTGCACACCCGCCCCCACTCGTCCGCTGCTCCTGCTGCCGCTGATGCTGATGCTGGTGATGCTGCTTTTACGGATGATTCATTATTGCCTCCGAGCCATAGCAGGCTCTGAAGAAGCTGCAGGGAGGCTCGGACCAGACCGACCCAGTGCTCCAGGCTCGGATGGAACGCCACTGGGCTTGACGCTTTGAACCCCACGCCTGGCGCTCCCAGAGATTTCAGATCCGACGCGCCGAGCCTGCCTGTCAGGCTCGGCATCAAGAGAACAGTGAGCAGGGCGTGAAGGCTCCGTCCTATAGATGGCACTTCCCCTGCTGCCGCTGCTGCTGCTGCTGCTGCTGCCGGTGCTGGTGCTGCTTGTCCTGATTTATTCAGAATTCTGTGAAGGGCATTGTCTTGAGTCATTGCAGAGAGCAGCGCCGTGATTGGCTGGAAGAGGTTGGACGAGACGACCAGCCAACCAGGATGGTGCTGCAGCAGCGAGAGAGACGCAGACAGAACGAACCAATAGCGTGCATCCATGAGAGCAGGGGCCGAATCTCCGTCCCTCCCCTTCCCCGCATCCCCCTTACCTTCCCCATCGCCTTCTACTTTCCCTCCCCCTATCCCTTCCCCCTCCGCTTTGCCTCCCGCCTGATTCTTCCGCCTCTTTTCCCCCTTCTCCCCAGCAAGCTTCTCTGCCGAGCCTGGCGTTCCCGAGCCAGGCCTGGCTCGTTTGGAGCCCGAGCCAGCGCCAGCAGGTCCGGGGCGGATGGATCGGAGGAGGGACAGCTGCGCGAACTCGAAAACGGCGCGCAGTGCGTGTAGGCGCGCCTGGGAACCCCATTCCCCCCACATGCCCGCAGATTCCGCGGGGGACCGGAAGCCTTGCTCCCCTGCCAATCCTTCCGCAGGAGCGTTATCCCCGTCGGTGGTAACTGTTTTACCAGCGATCTTCTTGCTCTTCTTCTTTCGCTTGCCGGCTGTGGCTTCCGCATCAATGGGTTCCTCAGCGGTTGTGACACCAGGAGGTGGGTGTTTTCCATTTTCGCCCTGTGCGACCTGCTGCGATTGCTGACCGGACCGTGCCACGTGGCGATTCCTATCCTCCTCCACGAAATATTGAAGGAGATTGATCGCGCACGAGAGCACTCTGCGAGGCGGTTTAAGAATGACAGGGGTTAGGGTGTAACAGGATTAAGATTCCGGGTTTAGTAACAGCATTATGGAAGTGACGGAACGTCAACGCGGACTACATAACGTACCTTTCCGGCGGTTCTCTTCTGGACACGGCGATTTGGGCAACGGCCAAAGGCGACAGCACCGCGTCAGGTGCCGCCATTTTACCTTGAAGGGCCTGTTCAGCAACCACACTCTAACCAGGTAAACTTGGTTGGGTTATGGGGCTATCATAGGCACTCGATTCACGCATATTCGGACTAAGGTATTCATCGTGTCCGAAGTAGAATAACACGAGACTTATGCATGTTGACAATGGCGAAAATACTATTATTTTCTTATCGAATGTAAAAGAGTTATTCAATCAAGATTTTTTTTTCAACGAACACCACATAACATATAGTTTTTTTTTGCGGTTTCAATCTCTGATGGATGTCATACCAGATCAATATAATATAGCTGATATTTTTTAGAGTGTTTTTGAAGTGCGAGTTCCAAGCATTCGGATTGGCCTGGCTCTGACACGCCCCGCCAATTTCAAGGTGTGATGTTGTAGAAAGCGCGGGAACCCAATCCAGCAACCCAATCTACTCTCAGGGTCACATGACCACATGCCAGCAGAACCTGCTTGGGTTCATCACGCCCGTCCATCTGCCGTTCGTGTTTTCGACTCACCGTGCTCTGTCTTCTCTTCGTCTTCCATATCTGCACGAAATATTTCCGCGATAAAGCTCTTTCGTGGCTTCATTTCTACTATCACGGACTAGGCAACACGGATCGGTTGTTATTGTCAGGCAATACCCTTGGATCCGTTCCAGCTACAAGGTGGTAAAGTCTGCATCTTTGTATCGTGGTGGCATCAGTCGTGGATGCTGCTCATTCTTCGTCAGATCAAATAACCCGACAGCTATCTTACCACTGACCAAAAACAATACACACACCATTTTTTTTCGAGCGTTTCTTCACGCGTATATTAGTTTACCCAGCAACCGGTTTGGTTAGACAGACATGTCGATCTCAGAGGAGCTAGCAGCGTCGCTGGGAGTGGCTCCCTCCCTGATCACCCTCCTGCTCTGCCTCTTCTCGTCCATCCCCGCGGCTCTGGTCGTGCGCTTCCTCCCGGGTCCCACATTGAAGCATCACTACAGCATTGCTGCCGGAGGGGCTCTCTGCTGGGTGGCGTATGGCGGCCTTCACGGCAAGTGTGATGCCTGTCATTGCTAGCAGCATACGCTCGTCCCGTTTCAGTGGTTCTCGTTGCAAGTGACAGGAATGCATTCAGCTAGTCGGTTTTGCAACGTTCCAGTTGCTGACATTCCCTTCCACAGGCCAGCTAGACCGCCAGCAGTCTGTTATCTGCAATCTCGCATTTTGCTTCACTGATCGAAATCGCCACTCCATCGCGTGCTTTCGCCAATGCAGCGAGCCTCAATTTCTGGGGCCTAACCCTCGCGTCGTACGCGCTCATGCTCGCCCTTCCTCGCAAGTGGAGCGGTTATGGCGTGCTCTTCGGCTCCTTCACCTACCTCACCTACTGGTATGCCTCCACCCTTTTTTTTTTCTTAATCTCTTAGTTTTATATTTTGTTCCCGTCCCAATGTCACATCGTAAGATTCACATCAAGGTTTTGTTGAAGAAAACATTCTTTCTTATCTCGTGCTTTCCAACCTCTCATGGGGCGCTAGTTCTGCCTGAACTCAGCAACCACATGAACTGCCTGGGAACACATATTTTAGGCTCTCAAGAACAGGCACTTTCTTGCGTGAACCAGAAAGGTACACGAGCATTCTGCGAGCGGACTTGTGGAGGTCGATTCGCTTTGAAACGTCTCAACCAAATGGGCTTTGGAATCTGTGACTGCGCATTTCTTGCATGAACCCTTCAGTCACATAAGCAACCTGGGAGCGGACGTGTGGAGGCAGGGAGGCGTGGACTTCACGGGCACGCTCATGGTGTTCACGCTTAAGATCTCTGGGTGCGCCATGGACTACCAGGACGGCGCGCTGCCGGAGGACAAGGTATTGTCTGCGGTGATAACAAGGTAACACGGTAGTGTGGTACATGATATTATGGTAACAAGGCTGGACGCTCATGGTGTTCACGCTCAAGATCTCTGGCTGTGCCATGGACTACCAGGAAGGCGCACTGCCAGAGGACAAGGTATGCTCTGCCGTGGTAACAAGGTAGCACGATAGTGTGGTAAATGATAACATGGTAACAAGGCTGGACGCTCATGGTGTTCACGCTCAAGATCTCTGGCTGTGCCATGGAGCGCACTGCCAGAGGACAAGGTATGCTCTGCGGTGGTAACAAGGTAACAGGCTGGCGCGCCCATGGTGTTCACGCTCAAGATCGCCGGCTGTGACATGGACTAGTACAATGACGGCGCACTGCCGGACGACAGGGTATGCTCCGCGATGGTTGTTACAAGGTAACCCAGTAAGACGGCTGGAAATGCTCATGGTGTTTGTGCTGGAGGATTGAGGCTGAACCGTGATTACCAGGATGGCGCGCTGCCAAAGGATAAGGTAGTTCGCAATCATTGTAACAAGGTAACAGGCTGGCGCGCCACTTTCGGGACATGCAACAGTCCACCCACATTCTTCCCCCTTCCCCTTCTCCCTCCCCCAGGCGCAGCACCGCATGTACAGCAACAGGCTGGCGCGGCTGCCGTCGGTGGTGGAGTTTTTGTCGTTCGTGTTCTTCCCAGGCGCCGCCCTCGTGGGACCCGTGTTCAACCTGAAGCAGTACCAGGCGTATGCTGCCGGGCAAGGGGTGAGTTTGAGCTGCCTTGGAAGGGGCCTTCATGCACTACCAGGTGTATGTTCCCGGACAAGGGGTGAGTGCAGGAGAAGGGAGAGATGAAGTGAGGGCGTTGTGTGTTCTTCCCAAACGCCTTACTGGTGGGACCCGTGTTCAACTTGAAGCAGCAGTACCAGGCGTACGCCGCTAGGCAAGGGGTGAGTGCGGTGAAAGGGGGAGAAGAAGTGAGAATGTTCTGTGTTCTTCCCCGTCGCTGTGCTGGTGGGACCCGTGTGCAACTGCAAGCAGTACCAGTCGTACGCCCCTGGGCAAGGGGTGAGTGCCGGGGGGGGGGGGGAGAGAGAGGAAATGAAGGGAGAAGGAAGACGTGAGACGACTCAATGGCGCCATGCTGGTGGGGCCCGTGTTTAACTGCAAGAAGTACCAGGCATATGCTGCCGAGTGATGGGAGGGAGGAGACGAGGTGGGGGTGTTGTGTGATCTTCCCTGGCGCTGTGCTGGTGGGGTCCGTGTATAACCTGAAGCAGAACCAGACGTACGCCACTGCGTAAGGGGTGAGTGCAGGGAGGGTGGAGGGAGGAAGTGAGTGTGCTGGAGTGGTGTTTGAGTCGAACGGCCATATGCACGCTGCCCTATCCCCTCTGTTCACTCGCGCCCTTCTGCCCTGTGCCACTGTACCTGCAACCCTGTGTGCGACCGTGCCTCCCCCAGCTATGGTCGCCATCTGGAGCCGTGGTGCCAAGCAAGGCAGCTGATACCAGCAAGGGGGAGGAGGGGAAGCTGACGCAGAACGGGAACGGGGAGGCGGACAGGGCGCAGGGCGAGAGCAAGGGCGAGGGGAAGGGCGAGGGGAAGGGCGAGGGGAAGGGCGAGGGGAAGCTGCGAAAGATGCCGGAGCCGCTGCCGTATGCAGCACAGGCGCTGGGGAAGGCGATCATCTGCCTGGCGATGCACCACTTCCTCTCTCAGCACTTCGGCCCCGCCCTGCTCTTCCAGCCCCGCTTCCTCACCTACAATTTTGCATACAAGTGAGTGTGTGTAGGGCTAAGCAGCGTTTGCAGCACTAGCGGCCTGGCAGCATCAGCAGCGTCAGCCTTCGGATGATATTTGCTTGCCACAGACTCTGCCACTGCCATACGCAGCGCAGGCGGGGTGAAGAAGTGGAGTTCCCGATTCCCGTCTGTTCCTGATTCCCTGCCGCCCCTCCTCTTCCTTCTCCCACATCCCTTCGTACAAAATCCCCACCTCCTTTCCCTCACATCACAGGTGGGGCCACCTGGTAAGGGCGAGTATCTGCTTCCGATGCTCAGGTCAGGTGGCTTATGAGTTGACTGGGAAATCCTCGTCCATCTCCCCTCACATCACATCACATCACATCACAGGTGGGGCTGCCTGGTGATGACGGGTATCTGCTTCCCCTGCTCCTGCTACTTCATCTCTGCGCTTCTCCCACCCACCCTTACCCACCCTTCTCTCCTACGTCTCCTGGTCCCAACCCCCTCTGCCCCACAGGTGGTTCTGCCTGGTGGTGGCGGGCATCTGCTTCCGCTGCTCCTACTACTTCATCTCTTCACACCCGTTCCCACCTGTCTCTCTGTACCCCGTCCCCTTGTTCTGATCCGCACTGCATCCCACAGGTGGTTCTGCCTGGTGGTGGCGGGCATCTGCTTCCGCTGCTCCTACTACTTCATCTGGAGTGTGGCAGAGGCTGCTGTGATCCTCTCTGGATTCGGCTTCTCCGGCTGGACCGACTCCTCACGTCCAGACTGGTGAGTTCCGAGATCTCATTATAAAATCCACTTGGAAAGTGGTAGAGGGTGCTGTTACTCTTTCTGCATCCCACTTCTCTTGTTGGACCGACTCCCCCCCCTCGCGCCCCGACTGGTGAGTTCCGAGATCTCATTATAGAATCCACTAGGAAAGTGGTAGAGGCTGCTGTTGCTCTTTCTGGATTCGGCTTCTCCGGCTGGACCGACTCGTTCTCCAGTCGACTCGGAAAGTGTTTGAGATTTGGTTGAGGGTGCTGCTTGAAAATGTTTAAAACCTATGTGGTCGAGGGTTTTTCTTCAGAATATTAAAAACCGATGTGGTTGAGGGTGCTTCTTGAGAGTATTTAAAGCCCACTCGGACTGACTCCTTCGCCTCGCTCCCGTGATTACATTTGCTGTTTTCTCTGGTGAATTAGCTAAGTGTTTCATCGCATAGGCCGATTTCTGATGCCTGCTCTCGGATGGAAAAAGATGGTCGCATCTCGTATGGCTGTTCATTCTCATTGTTGGTTATTATCATCCCACACCTCGCCCTTTCCCATCCACTTGAACGTCTCCACATCTCCCAAACATCATGCCGCCCCACCTTCCACTCCGTCCACCCCCCCACCCTCCAGGAGCCGGGCGGAGAACGCCAATTTCATCAAGTGTGAGATCACGGCGAGCCTACCACGTTGATGTGTCTCTCGATCCACCTGACAGCTCTCACATATCTTGACCGTCCTCCCCAACCCCTCCCTTCCGGCTACTCCCCATCCCTCCAGGAGCCGGGCAGAGAACGCAAATTTCATCAAGTGTGAGATCACCACGAGTCTGGCGCAGATGCCTGCCTACTGGAACATGGGCGTCGGCACGTGGCTCCGCACCTGTGCGTGGGTTCTCTGGGTTGAGATTAGGGGAGTCTTCCTTGGGCTTAGCTTAGATTTGCGCGTTTGGGCTTAGAGTTGCGCGTTTGGGCTGCATGCCTACTGGATCATGGGCGTTAGCACGTGGCTGCAAACATTCAGAGATCACGTGCTCTTAGGTTTAGGATTTCGGATGTAGGATGTCCGTGGGACTTTGGGGTTGAGTGCATGGGAATGGGAGCGCGCAGTGATGGGTAGGTGAGAACACGAGGGTGAAAGCAGGAAAGGAGGTCCTTTCCCTTCCCTCCCCCTTCTCTCCACCTCCCCTCCCCACCCACCTCCCCCGGTCTTCCCCCCCACTCTCTCCACCTCCCCCTTCAGACGTGTACGACCGGGTGACACCTCGCTCGGGCAAGCCCACCATGTGGACGCTCGTTTTCACTCAAGTCGTCTCCGCGCTCTGGCATGTGAGTCGTCTCCGCGCTCTGGCAAGTGAGTCGTCTCTGCGCTCTGGCATGTGAGTCGTCTCACGATGTTTGTTGAGTTGACTCTAGAGCTCTTCTCCCCACTTACTGGGCCTTCATTGTCAACCTGCCTGTTGCTTGAATCCTCGCCTGTTTGAGCCGGCTCTAGAACAGCTCGTCCCACAATCAGCACCTTGATTACCATCTCTTTCTCTCTTCCACAGTCTGTCAGCGCTGCCATAAGCTCTCCAGACCCACCGCATTCCACTCCCTCGTGTTCCACTCCCTCCTCTTCTGCACAATCTGCACCCCATTTCTCTTTGTCACTGTCAGCACTACCATCGGCTGGTTTAGTCCTACCGCACTCCACCCCCTTGTACCCATACACCTTTCGCCCCCCTCCGTCTCCTTGCAGGGTCTTCACCCAGGCTACTACCTCTTCTTTTTCAATGCCGCCATCGGCTCGTCAGTCCCGCATCCCCCATCCAAACCTCATCCCCCATCCAACCCTCATCCATCCCTTCTTCCGCCACTCTCCCTCCCCTCCCAGGGTCTTCACCCCGGCTACTACCTCTTCTTTGTCAACGCCGCCATCGGCCAACACGCCTCCAAGCGTACGTCTCCTAACTGCCTGTGTCTCTGCCACTGGAAGATTCTCGTGCCTTGCCTTTTACTCTCTGCGCTGCTTAGAGGGCTCTAGGGTTTCCCCCTGTTGTCTCCTCTAAGTAGCATCCAGCTTCATGACCTTGTTGGGAATCCTCACTCGCTCTTTTCTCGCTCCAACTATTTTAACCTAACGCACGTCCCTTGCACGCCCCCTCGTGTGTCTCCTTGTGGCATGGAATGGCATGTTGTTGCATGGCATGGCATGGCGCGGCACGTAACACCGCAGAGGTGTTCCGGCACACGGCAGCAGCGTTCCCGAAGCAGTCAGCAGCAGTGAAGGTCACCATTGACGTGGTGCAGGCCGTGTTCAAGCAGCTCATCATCAACTACTCCAATGCTGGCTTCCTGGTGAGCAAAGGACGAAGGGCAAGTGAAAGTGAAAGGGAAAGGGAAAGGTAAGGTACGTCATGCCTGCCTTCCCCGTGTTCAAGCAGCTCATCGTGAACCACTTCTTTGCTGGCGTCCTTGTATGTCTGCCATCTGGCCTCCTGGTAGGACTTTCACCTTCATGAAATTGCTTCACCTTCTCGCTTCCTGTGAAACCTTGCTTCCACTGCCTTCCTGTTCTCGTCCCTCCTCTCCCATCCCTCCTCACCCCATCCGCTCCTTTCCTATCCATGTGTATTCCCCGTCGTTGCATTGACTTTCCCCCCAGGTGCTGCAAGTTTTGCATTCTCCCCTTCCTCGCCCCATTCATCCGCTCCCAGTTCCGTGAACTCAGATATCGGTGTCCCCTTCATTGCCTTCATTGCCTCCACACCCCCCAGGTGCTGCAATGGGGGCAGACCATAGCGGTGTGGCGGTCGCTCTTCTTTATGGGCACCGTCGTCCCCATTCTTCTCAACGTGCTGCTGTCCATCATTCCCACTCGCTCCCGACGCCACAAGAAGGTCGAATAATCTTCGATCGAATTCGGCCGCTGCTCCCATTCGCGCCCTTGCGTTTTTGGCGCCACAAAATGGTCTCATGATGTCCAAATTGGTATGTTTCGCAATTTGGCGTGCGCTTTTGTATGGTTCTGAGCATTCATTGAACACTAGGCCGCCCGATCTCCTGTAGCGGCACATAATCGGAGGGATATAAGGGCGTTGTAATTACCTTGTTCAAGATGATTCGCTTTGCGGTCATGTTCGCCTTCTCGTAAAATGAGGTCGATGTTTATCATGTGTCAGTGTAGGTAGGGGCGTATTCTCTCGAAGTATGGACAGCTGCATGATGTGCACAAGCAGCGATGGGATACAAATACCGTACCAAACCTAAAGGAGTTGTACGGTACTCCTTAGGGTGCTACTCAGTGTAGTCTAGGAGCTAATTTAACCACCCCCCCATATGATAACTAGGGGAAATAAGAACAAGCGAAGGAAACAAATGGTAACAAGATTTGTCAAGAGAAATAACAATACACATCTCAAGGTGGATCACGAATTCACCACACTGTCTGAGAGAAAGCAAGGGGCCAAAAGGTCAGTTCAAGAGTTCACAGATGTATATAAGTAGCAAGACAGACAGTGCTAGAAACAAGAGGCAAGACTACACAACAGAGAGCCTGACTCAACAAGGTCTAGCTGCAAACAAAATCTGTGGTGGTCAACAGGAGGAAGGGCCTTGGTGAAGATGTCTGCTGTGTTGGCCGTTGAAGCCACAAAGTCCAAGTGTGCATGGCCGCATCGGCGCAACCCTCGCAAAAAAAAGTACCTCACGTCAACGTGCTTCACTCTGCCCTCCGGTTGAGGCTCTCGACACAGGAGGGTCATGACATTGTTGACAGCGAACAAGGTCGGTGCAGAGCGAGGCCGCTCACCAAGGTCGGCGAGCAAGAAGGTCAACCAACGAAGTTCCTCCGCAGCCATGGAACCAGCGTTGATCTTGACATCAGTCTACCCTTGGGAAGTGAGGAGTGGAAAGCAGCCTACCCCGACGCAAACACGATTGGGAGACCTTAGACAAGTCATTAACTAGACGGGTGAAGGAGACGTGAGAGGGACGCGTGTCCAAGAAGGTGGTGCCACACGACTGTCGGGTGGACGAGTGCTCGACAGGAACACGATGCAGCAACCGCCCTGTGAAGACCGCTGCGTAGCCTGGTCGTCAACCCAAGAAGCGTCTGAGTGCCCAGTGAGGACAACTGAGCTCCGCCCTCCAAGCACGAGCCCCATGCCCGATGTACTGCTCAAGTAGCGCAGTACCCTCTTTGCAGCATCGAAGTGCACCTTTCGGTGCCTACTAGGAGCCACGTAGCGTGCCAGAAGGCCAAGAGAGTATGCAAGGTCAGGACGAGTGCAGGTCATCAGATACATGAGGTAGCCCATTAGCTCTGGGTATGGACCACTCGGCTCTACGGACTCGTCCGAAGATGGAGCTGAGAGCGAGTGACCTGTAGCAAGGGGAGTGGACTGTGGCGAGGACCAAGTGAAGCCGAAGCGCTGAAGGACCTGCTGCACCAAGTGTGACTAAGTCAGTGTGATGGTGCGCCGTGCTCTGTCCCGGGTGATCTGCAGGCCAAGGTAGCTGCGCAGCTCACCCAGGTCTGTGCACGTGTGTCTCTTCTGCAACTCCAACTTCACAAGGGCGAGAGCCTCAGTGTCAGCAGTGGCAAAGACCAAGTTGTCGATGTACACAAGGATGTAGACAGCGGCAACGAAGTGTCGGTGCGCAGAAACAGCGACGGGTCAGAAGTGGAAGGTGCAAACCCAAGAGTCGCAAGTGTCGTCCTTGGTGTGTCGTGCCACTCACGAGGCGCCTGACGGAGACCGTAGACCGGCCGACGGAGGCTCCTTTGGGTACCAAGAGGGAACGACCCAGTGAAGCCAGGTAGGCGGCGCAGCCAGATCTCCTCGTGCAGACTGCTCTATAAGAACCCTGTGCTGAAGTCCAGAGAGTGGAGCTCATAGTCACGCTGAGCGGCAACGTGCAGCAGCACCGGAAGAGTGGTCATCTTCGGGGTGGGGGAGAAGGTCTGGAAGAAGTCAAATCTCTGTCTCTGACTGAAGCCTCGTGCAACGTAACGAGCCTTGAACACAGGCGGAGAACCCGGCAGCAGCTTCACCCTGAAAATCCACATGCCATCGACTCCGTTTGTCCCAGGAGGGGGAACTGCGTCGACGTAAGTGCCTGTGGACTTCCAGGATGCCATCTCTGCGTCCATGGTTGTCTGCCACTGAGAGGAGTACTCACCCGCGATCGCCTCAGTGTAAGAGCGCGGGGTCGGGATGTCTGGAGCATCCGGGTCTCCCTCAGGAGCAAGCAGCATGGCCACGAGATGAGGCGCAGCGGCTGCAAGACACTCTAAGTCCTTCTGCCTGTGCTCAAGGACGTCCGTGCCAAGAGCACACTCACCCTCGACGGACGGAGGACAGACAGACTCAGACTCAGCAACAAGACTAGTAGCGAAGTCTAGACGACAGGCAGCAGCAAAGTCAACAAGCTCAGAGACCAAGGCAGACGCAGCAGCAGACTCAAACGACGGGTCAGTGACAACAGTGGCTAGCAGACGCGTGACAGTAGGGTGAGCAGCATGAACCAAGTCAGACTCAAGGTCCTGAACGTCACGCATAGAAGACGCAGGAGGAGATGGCAGGGGAACACGCTGTGGAACACAGGAAGGACGAAGTGCCATAGTGTGCGCGCCGGGGAGAGGAGGAGGACGCTCACGAGGAACACGACGACCAGTGCGACCAGCGCGAACAGGCGAGGCAAGACGAGACGCATGCTCACGATGCTCTGTAAGCAAGTCTGCCTGCTCAGTGTAAAGAGAAGGAGCAGGCTGTGGAGAGCCTGGATGTAACGGGAGGCCAGTAGAAGACGGGAGGCTAAGAACCTGGCAAAGCACAGAGTCAGGCTGTGGCAGAGACGACGGTGACGGCGGAGCGAAGAGCAGTCCCGGCTATGCAATACCAGCAGCACCACTACCACCAGCACCAGCACCTCCAGCAGCAGCAGAACCTCTAGCTCCAGCGCCTCCAGCTCCAGCGCCTCCAGCTCAAGTACCTCCAGCTCCAGCGCCTCCAGCGCTAGCGCCTCCAGCTCCAAAGCTCGCAACACCACCAGCTCCGGCAGTTCCAGCACCTCCAGGACGAGCACCAGTAGCACCAGCTCCTCCAGCAGCTCCAGAACCTCCAGCCCTAGGGCCTCCAGCAGCAGCACCCCCAGAACCGGCACCTCGAGCTCGAGGGTCTCCTACTCCAGGGTCGACAGGACCAGCTCCAGAGCCTCCTGCTCCAGGGCCTCCAGCAGCAGCACCCCCAGAACCGGCACCTCCCGCTCCAGGGTCTCCAACTCCAGGGTCGACAGCACCATCTCCAGGGCCTCCAGCTCCAGTGCCCCCAGCAGCAGCACCCCCAATTGGCACCTCCAGCTCCAGGGTCTCCTACTCCAGGGTCGACAGCACCAGCTCCAGGGCCTCCAGCTCCGTGCCCCCAGAAGCAGCACCCCTAGAACCGGCACCTCCAGCTCCAGGGTCTCCAGCTCCAGGGTCGACAGCACCAGCTCCAGGTCCCCCAGCTCTAGTGCCTCCAGTAGGGATACCCCCAGAACCGGCACCTCTAGCCCCAGGGTCTCCAGCTCCAGCACCTCCAGCTCCAGTGCCTCCAGCTCCGGCAGCGCGACTCCGAAGGCGGGTGTGCGAAGCAAGCCATTCGCGCAGCTGCCGCGGCAAGAGAGGTGACCGCTGCAACGCGGCACCAGGAGGACCTCCAGCAGACTTAGCACCCCTAGGCTCAGCACCAACAGACTCAGTACCCCCTGGGCCAGCACGTCGAGGGCCAGCACTTCCAGCTCCAGTGCCTCTAGCACCACGGACCCCGGCAGCTCGAGTACCTCTGGTACGAGCACCTCCAGGACCCTCAGAGCCAGCACCCCCAGCGCCTCCACGACGAGCAGCTCCAGCAGCTCCAACCGCAGCACCTCGAGCTGCAGTACCTCCAGCACCAGCAGCACGACTCCTCAGGCGGGTACGCCACGCCAGCCAATCTCGTAGCTGGTGTGGTGAGAGAGGCCCCCGTCGTGAAGAGAGACCCCCAGACTCAGCACCCTCAGTCTCAGCACCCCCAGGCTCCGCACTCGTAGGCCCAGCACCCCCAGGCTCCTCACCCCCCAGCACCTCACGCACAGGCTCAGCACCCCCAGACGCAGTACCCCGAGAAGCACCACCCGCAGCAGTACCTGAGTCGCTAGTGACCTCTACAGGCTCAGCCAAGGGGAGTGGGTCTACCTGAGACACACCTGAAGGGGCAGGACCCTGAGGGGGGAGGGGGTCTACCGGAGGGGGACCTGGAGCGAGGAAAAGCGGCGGGGGAGGGAGAGGGGCAGTGCGGTAGGGGAAGAGACGGTAGAAAGGAACTGGCTCGTCAAAGGTGACGTCCTGAGAGGGGAAGACACGGCGCGAGGTGGGGTGGTAAATCTGCCAACCAGGCGCGTCAGGGACAAAGCCAAGGAAGACACAGGGAATGGTGCGGGAGGAGAGCTTGTCCGCGGACGTATCGCGGACAAGGGCACGAGCACCCCAGACTTGGAAACGCGACGCATTGCCCACCTCCCCCGTCCAACGCAGTGTGGGCGAGGTCTCCGGCAAGGAGACACGGGGCCAGAGGTTGAGTTGTTGCGCGGCGTACCGGACCGCAAACGGCCACAGAAAATGGGGAGCCGCCGTATGGATCAAGGAGGTACGTGCGATCTCCATGACCAAGCCAATGCGGCGCTTAGCAATCCCATTTTGCTGTGGTGAGCCCGGAAGCGTGAACGACTGCTTGATGCCCTCCCCCTGACAGAAGGCCCGCAAGAGGTCGTAGGCAAACTCACCACCTCTGTCAGAGTGCAGACGCAGGACAGGAAGGTCCTAGCGGAACCTGCGGCGGAGTCGGAGACGAACTGCTCGGATCCAAGGGATCTGGACAGCAAGGAC